TAAGAGTACTTGTTTTTCTTAGACTACTTACCTCTCAATTACAATCTATTTTAATTGTGTTGCTGACTCTAAAGTTCATAACATACTACCGCAACGCACCTCAAGAACGGTGCACCGCGCCATAAGTGAGTGATTCAAATTTCAAACTTATCAGGGGACCGCGTGATAAAAAAAAAACATCTTCAGAACATTTATTTAATTACAAACTTCATTCCTTGTGATCATTTATTATGTCTTATCATACATTACATTGTAAATGCAAACTTGAAAAAAATCAATTTTCAGAAATCGATCTTTTGGACCTCGATTTTTTTGTGAATCGATTTATTAGGTTACGATTCGAATAGATTTTAAAATCGATCTTTTTTGTCAAGAATCGCCATTCCTAGATAATCTACGATCTAGAGTAAATTATACTACTACTGTCTACTAATGGAGTTCCTTAGTAGTTTTATTTTTTCAACTGCAAAGTAGTAGGAAGGCAAAGGTGTCATACCATACAGCCTAATCTTTTTTAAATTAGGTCCTTACATATAATTCATATAAAATTAGCGTTTTGTCGTACTGACCACTTTGATCTGAAATATCTCCTCTTTTATTGTTTTACAGTAAATCCTGTAGAAATGGCAATAGATCTATACTTCACCGCGGGATCGGCGCCGTGCCGCGTCGTGCTGCTAGTGGCAGCCGCTTTGGACCTACAGCTCAACCTTAAACCTCTTAATTTGTGGGAGGGAGAACAGTTGCAAGCCGATTTCTTAAAGGTAAACAAATAAACTCCGAACATATCTTCCTTATTGATTGCCTGTAAGTGGCCACGGTCTTAACTATACTATTACGCTGGTAAGAGTAACGTCACCTATCGCCGAATAGCCGAAACGAATATCAAAGGAACTCGTAACATCTAGAACGCTCGAGAAATACAACGCCATCTGTTGTCAGATAGCGGAAGCACGCATTGAAAGTGCTCGACTTGTGAGGAATGTTCTCGACCATTCTAAGGATGTCGTATCGACTATAAAAGCGTTGCAGGATGGCACGCGGTCAGTTAGTAATCGGAACTACTCGAAGCGAAACAGCGAACGGATCACCTGAAGCGAAGCGGAAGAAGCGAATTGAGAATTTTAAAGTGTTTTAAGTGTTCTAAGTGATAAATACAGTTTTAATTTATACTTCAGTGGAATTTTATTTATCACGAACCCCGGCGCGTAACAATACTATAAATTTGTTAACATTATCTTCCAGTTGAATCCTCAACACACAGTCCCTACAATAGTGGACGAGGGCTTCCCTCTGTGGGAGTCGCGAGCGATAAGCAGATATTTAGTCAACAAGTACGGAGGAGACAGTAGCAGTCTCTATCCGAAGGATTTGATGGCAAGGGCCCTCGTCGATCAGAGACTTGACTTCGACATTGGAACTCTGTACCCTAGATTCGCACAATATTTTGTAAGTTACTTTTTTTAATACAAGACGTTTTTATAGCATTCGATGGCCGAAGGGCATAACCATTGAGTCTATGAGCCTAATGGTTCCAGGTGGTAAGGAAGAAGTATGTTCTGGAGGCGGGTGGTGCGATGGTAAATAGGAAATGTCTGTATCATTTCGAATAATTGTTTGGAGCACTGCCCGTGGAACATAATGCTTTAAACTAAAAAAATATATAATGAATATGCCAATTCCTAATTTCTTCCCAATTTCGGTTGTTGCTTTTCCCAACTTTTTTCCAAATTTTGAATATTTTTTTTATTGTTTAGATGGGTTAACTAGCTCACGGTCCACCCGGTGTTAAGTGGCTACCGAAGCTCATAGATACCTACAACATAAATGCCGTCACCCACTTTGAGAGAAGAGTTCTAGGGTCTTAGTTTTTACAGTACAGCGACTGTCTCACTTTTCAAACCAAAACGCAATACTGCTTCACGGCATAAATAGGCATAGTGGTGGTAACTTTTTTTTTTTTAATTGCTTAGACGGGTGGACAAGCTCACAGCCCTCCTGGTGTTAAGTGGTAAATGGAGCCCATAGACATTTACAACGTAAATGCATCACCAACCTTGAGATATAAGTTCTAAGATCTCACTATAGTTACAACGGCTGCCCCACCCTTCAAACCGAAACGCATTACTGTTTCACGGTAGAAATAGGCAGGGTGGTGGTTCCTACCCGTGCGGACTCACAATACGTCCTACCACCAGTAAATCTACCCGTGCGGACTCGGAATTGTGGTGACTCTTAAGACAGGCTTATGTCCACATAACAGGTATATGTATAGGACTTATAGACAGACATAATATAGATTTCACTGGTGGTAGGACCTCTTGGGAGTCCGCACGAGTAGGTACCACCACTCCGCCTATTTCCGTCGTGAAGCAGTAATGCGTTTCGGTTTGAAGGGTGGGGCAGCCGTTGCAACTATACTGAGACCTTAGAACTTATATCTCAAGGTGGGTGGCGCATTTACGTTGTAGATGTCTATGGGCTCCAGTAACCACTTAACACCAGGTGGGCTGTGAGCTCGTCCACCCATCTAACCAATAAAAAAAAAAAGGTTAAGTTATTAGGTGGTTTTTTTGTCTTTTAGATACTGTGATGTATGTTTATGGGTGGTCTACAATAAAATAAATATGAAATCTTAATTCGTATGCTATTATTACAGCAGAATTACCCATAGTCTGTTGTAGCTCCCAAGGATATGATAGATACTATTTCGGTGTGTATATTTGCTAAGTAGATCCTTCCATTTCAGTATCCCCAAGTATTTGGCGGTGGGAAACCCGATGCAGCATCCCTTAAAAAATTAGAGGAAGCTCTAGTATTCCTCAACGCTTTCCTGGAAGGTCAGAAGTATGTAACCGGAGACGTATTGACTATCGCCGATCTCAGCCTTGTGGCTACCATCTCCACTATTGACGCGGCTGAAATCAGTCTGAAGAGTTACCCTAATGTGGAGAAGTAAGTCTATCTGTAAATTTGTATAATGAGGGAGTGGGCTTGAGGAAGTAGCAAGTACTGTGTTTTAATCAAATTTTAAAGACACTGTAGAGTGTGTTAAATAAATAATTATTGCTCTTAAGACCAATAAAATTATTCTCACTACTTGTCCGATTGGTAGTGATGAAAAAGGTGGAGGTTCGTTTCTATTTATTTATTGCATAAATGGGTGGATGAGCTCACAGCCCACCTGGTGTTAAGTGGTTACCGGAGCCCATAAACATCTACAATGTAAATGTCGCCACCCACCTTGCGATATGAGTTCTAAGGTCTCAGTATAGTCACTAAAAACTTTTCAAGATACATGAAGGCATTATTTCTAATCCATTCTGATGTTTAATAATATCAGAAATAATATGCATTTCGCATTATTAATATGCGAAAGTGAGTTTTATGTTTCGCTTTCACGTCGTAACTCAGCTATCATCATGAAATTATGTTCACATGCTGTCAGGGACTCAGTAAAGTTCTATAATGCCTTTAAAGAAAAAAACTGAATAAAAGGAACTGTCCGTGGGTGTTTTTTTTTCCTAATTTAACACTAGTCGTCCAAATCATGATATTAAGTGTATAATCTATGGGTCAAGGTTAGGTGAAACTGCACCGATCAAAGATAATCTGAAATCTCATGTTTTTTTTTTCAGATGGTTTGAGCTCATGAAGACAACAGCTCCAGATTATCAGAATGCTAATCAAAAAGGTATAGATGAATTCAAGAAGTTGATAGCGCAAATGAAGGCCAAAACTGAACTTTGAGTACAAGTACACCATTATTATAATATTTATCCTGATTATATACAATGGGACATGCCCAGAGTTCACCAGAGTAAATAGTAGATTTTTTTCAATAAATAAATAATATATAATATATAAAAATTTATATATAATATAAATAATAAAAATATAAAAAAAAATACATAAATGTGATTGTTTTTTTTTTTTTTTGTTAATAAGTAACAGAGATATCCGCAAACTAGCCATTTTTTGGATGGAATTCAGTGTTTAAGATCTTCACAGCGTGAAACGACACCCATATGCTCATTTTAATAATATCTGTGCATTTTTCACTCACTCATGACTTTGGCGCCATTTATAATTTTCTTATTTTTTATCGACTTCTTGGTGGGAACGCGAGGTGTGAAGTATGTTTTATTTCATAGATTCTTCATAGATCTTAGATAGATTTTTCAGTAGATTCTGCGAAGCACTGCTCTTGCTAGAGCTGGTTTAAACAAATTCTCTTAGGTTGAGCCCGCGAGCTCACCTACACGTACGCGTGACGCTGGAATAGCCTCTAAGTCTACGGACACGAAACTTGCGATGGCTGAGCGATGGCGGCAGCGGGGCGACGGCGATGTATACAAAAGCATTGCACAGTATGGGGACGGGCACGAAACGGGCGATGGCGGAGCGGGGCGATCGAGCGATGTACGGGCGATGATGGGGCGACGGCGACGCGGAAGCGACGAGAACAAACTACTTTGGTTTCGTCGCTTGCGCGGGTACACAGTGTTGTGTTCAGTTATTATTTTAGTAATGGAAATTGATAATGAGGAATTTATAATTTAACAAGGAATTTAAAATTTCATTGAATGACACCTTAGCTCGTAATAAAGCGTAGAAAATTCTCCCAAATTGCGTCTTCGTTGATTTATTGGATGAACACCATCTCTAGGTAATAATAATTCTCTCAATAGGAGACTAGGCTCCAATAGTTCTCTTCGACGTAAACTCATGATTCGCACAACACTGCTCAAGCGCGACTGCCCGCCAGCTTGTTTCGTGCCCGCGCGAGATATCGCTGCCTACCCGCTCCGTGTCGCGTCGCCCCGCTGCCGCCATCGCTCAGCCATCGCAAATTTCGTGCCCGTAGACTTAGGCTACCAGCGAATAGATACAGAAAAAGAATAGATCAGCGATAATTTGATTCCTTAAGGAAACGACTGTCTCACCATAATCGCTAAGGTAGAAACAGGAAGCATGGTAGGTAGTGAATAAAAAATGCATTTTTCATTAATAGTTTTATTTGTGCCTTAAAAACTATAAACTTAAAAACGAAAAAAAGAGCATCAAAACCATTCGTGACTTGAACAAACATTGTGAACGTGATAGTGGAATATTGTGAAATTCAATAATACAAACGTCAACTGGAATTTCAGATTGGGTATCACATGACAAAAAACGAAACATATCGATAAAATGCGAACAGATCATATTAAATTTATTAATTTACTTTCAGGCAAAGGGCGACTGTTAAATTCAACCTAATTTAATAATCTATTATTTTAAAGAATATTTTTAATTTAAGCAATGACGTTTTAATTCTGCCTAGTTGGTCAATTTTAATTCCAGCGACGTTATTTTGAATAAGTTTTCATTTCGTGTTGATAAGTGTTCACTTTTTAAGCATGCTGTTGACAAGTCCCTTGAATGCCTCCAGTCCTTTCTCGTTGGCCTCCTGGTAACCCGGAGCTGTACTCTTAACCGTCTCGTACCATCTGCAAAACAGTACATATTAATTGAATTGAATACTCATATAGATTGACATTAATCATTTCATGTGCTTTTTTTATTTTTATTGCTTTGTTCGGTGGACGAGCTCACGGCCCACCCGATGTTAAGTGGATGCCGGAGCACATAGACATCTACAACGTAAATGCCGCTATCCACCTAAAGATATGAGTTCAAAGTTCTCAGTTTTAACAGTACAACGGCTGCTCCACCCTTCAGAACGAAACGCATTACTGCTTGACGGCAGAAACAGGCAGGGCGGTAATACCTACCCGAGCGGACTCACAAGACCACCAAGTACCATAAGTATATGTATCTCTTTATTGATGTAAAAAAGGCTACGGAAAACGGGAGTTTTTTATTTATTTGATTACTGGGTAGTTGGTATGGAAACGAAATCATAGACAAGATGATGTTAAGGGGATACTGGAGCCACCCAACTTGAGGCATAAGATCGAATGCAAAATGCCGCCTGTGTGACTATTACCCGTCAAACTGGAATGCAGTCCTATAAAGCTACCAAATAATATGAAATCAGTATTCGTCTTAATAGATAATGCTATGAATCATCGTTATCTCAGACACGTCTATATTTCACAATATCCATGAACAGAAAAAAATAATCTTATGAAGGTTATCGAAATAAAACAAAATACCTCTTAACGTTGGCGTATTTCTTGAAGTCAATGTCAGAGGCTTCCAGGCTGGAGACACTGGCGATGAGACTCAGGTCGGCGACGGTGAGGTTCGGTCCGGCCACGTACTTCTGACCTTCGAGGAACTTGTCCAGCAGCTGAAGGGCTTCCTGGACCTTCTCGTTCTTGGCTTTGTCGGCTGGGGCACCGGCAAATACTTGGGGATACTGGAGACAGACAAACAGTGTTGGAACAAGATAGACACAATCTACCTTGACCGGGTTCGATCTCGAGCTGGGATCGGACGGTTGGGCGAGAGTGCTGGGAAACTCGTTTAGTGTTTGGGCCTTTACAACCTTTTTACCGCTTATCGTCTATGTTGAGTCAGACATTTCAAGAAGCCCCCTGCTCTGACCGCGTTCTGACCCCGGACAGAGATCGAACGTCGGGTGTAAGAGTGCAGGGGAGTCGTTCAGTGCGGTAGGGCCCTAAAATTCCTTGGGCCCACGGTCTGCTCCCAACACCTGTAGATTGTCAAGTCTCACATACTCCACGCGCTCCCTAGGCGCAGGGACCTCGTAGGAAGTTCGGCCCCCGGCCAGAAAAAAAAACAAAAATACATCTCAAGGTGGATAAGATACTTTAGAGTTATATATGTATATATTTTTTATTGCCCTTGTAGGCAGACGAGCATACGGCCCACCTGATGGTGAGTGGTTACTGTCGCCCATGGACTTCAGCAATGCCAAGGGCAGAGCCAAGCCGCTGCCTGCCCTATTTCCTGGTATACTACAAGACTTTCGTTTGAGTAATGCGAACAATAGCAAGCACGAGATTCCGGACCACATCTAGGACCACCATTCATCCTTAGTATTCGCAACAGCGCATGGTACTTACGAAATAATCACTGAATCTCTGGTACAAAGTTCCGATGTCGAAATACAATCGTTGGTCAACTAGGGCACGAGCTTTGGGGTCTTCGGGGTACAGACTGCTGCCCTTAGCGTACTTGTTCACCAAGTAGGTGATGATGGCGCGGGACTCCCAGATTGAAAGGCCATCGTCGACTAGGGTCGGGACCGTGTGTTGAGGGTTCAACTGGAATTAGAACATGATTTCACTCAAGTACTTACTTCTATACTAATATATAAATCTACAGCGGTTTTTACGGGTGTTCCGTTATAACTACTGAACCATGCATCCGATTGACTTGAAACTTGGTATCCGTGTAGAAAATATATGTACTTAATGGATAGGCTAATATTTATATGAGTGTTGGACTCCCTACACCAGTGGCGGGAGCGTTAATGATAAGAATCTTTGTTGAAGAGAAATAATAATGTTAATTTGAAATGCCCAGCGAAGTGGACGGGTACAGCAAGTTGCTAATATAAACAGAATATTGAAGTAATTGTTTCTGGGTAAGCATTTCATTAAATCTTAAACATTTTTTACACGCTTTATATTAGCTTCACTTGTATGTATGTTTGTAACTGACTCCTTTAGACACGCGACTTTGACCCACTTTAAACGGCCAGATTTCATTCAAACTTTGTAGATATATCGAGGACCGATAACAATTCAAAATTAAAGAAAAATTGAAAAAAAAAGAATTGAAAAAATTGAAATTCAACTAAAAATGAAAAATAAATAATAGTTTAAAAAAAGCTAAAAAATACGCTTTATATAAAATTCAACTAAAAAAATGAAAATAAATTTTAATAAATTTAAATTGAAAGTAGTGTAAAAAAAAATATTTTATTGTAAAAAAAGCGTGGGGTGCATGGTGTTATTAGTTATAAATATTTTGCTGACAGATATGAGTAGAAGAATTTATTATTTCAATAATATCTTTAAAAGCACCCCAATTTTATATAAAGCGTGTTAATTCGTTTTTTTAAACTATTATTTATTTATTACTTAGACGGGTGGACGAGCTCACAGCCCACCTGGTGTTAAGTGGTTACCGGAGCCCATAGACATCTACAACGTAAATGCCGCCAGCCACTTTGAGATATGAGTTCTAAGGTATAGTTACATATTTGATGGTAATAATCGATAATACCGTTGTTGTTTAAGTCTATTACTGGTATACGCTGAAAAGGCGGTATACCGGTACGCACATTGTCCGACTGGGTTTGCGTACAAAAGCTATGGAGATATGGCGCGCACCGGACGGCGGACGTATGTTGTACGTATACGTCTTGTTCTAGACCCCGCAAATCGACTAAAACTTGACGGATGGTTTCTTCCTTTTCTGACGCTCGTCTTAGAAAGCAATTTGCCCGATAAGTACAGATTGATCACTTCCCAGAGAAAATATCTGATCATAAAAACCTGCGGCACACTTCTAATTACAAAACACACATTTCTAATTAAAAAAAAGAGACGGATTGTGATGCGACGCTTTGTGTACCACAGTTCATTGTACACATTACAAAATGAAACTATTCTACGAATTCAAATATCGAGAATTGTATGACAAACCGGTCGCCCGGAATTTTTTGACGACTATTGACCGGTTTATACAGATAATAATATATATTTTTTTCTTAGATGGGTGAACGAGCACACATCCCACCTGGTGTTAAGTGGTTACTGGAGCCCATAGACATCTACAAGGTAAATGCCGCCACCCACCTTGAGACATGAGTTGTAAGGTCTCACTATCAAACTGAAACGCATTACTGCTTCACTCACGGCAGAAATAGGCAGGGTGGTGGTACCTACCCTTGCGGACTCACAACACGTTCTACCACCAGTAATACGTCATACCACCAGTCCATTTTCGTTACGATACGAGCTATCGCAAGTTTAACTTAAAAATACCATGGGTCAAAGCTAATGCCAGGTTAATATACAGTAATAATAACAATTTGGCTTTTAAGTTGAAGATCAATTCGGCCAAGGTCCAAGATAGATAAGAAATTTTAAAAACAAAAATGAAAACAAACCGCTCTATTATTCAAGTAGGTCATGGAAACTTTCCAAATATGCATGGCTTCCCCATCGATTCGGAATATACGTACTACCGAGAAGAATCGGCGAGAAACTCAGTACCTACCTGGCTTTTCCCAAACATACTAAAAAACCTTACAAAATATCTTATGTGCGAAATGTGATAAGTGCGACCAGAATTAGATGAAACAGGTTTTCATTGGTGAGCATTAAACAAGGATTCATTCAGTGCTGTTCCTACATAAAAATAGAGAGGTTTAAATAAAAATATGTTTAATAATGCGGCCGTTTCTTAGCCCCCACGCTCAATTTACGCTAAAACTCTGACACATTGATTTTATAATAAAATAGAAAAGCAAAATTTTAACCTGCCCGATGCTTCTACACTTGAAGCGCACTTGCGCAGAAACATACATTGGGTCATTAAGTCCGATATAAAATATATACGATCGCTGGCGTAGTTAAGAATGAAGTCATGAGCCCGTGCGGGTCGATAGTATAGATTCCAACTTAATTCTCCAGCTTGATTCCGCAATCGTTCGTGGTTTGAATTAATATTGAAAGGAAATTTATTAGAGATCTGAATGTGGGTAGCGGTTTACTTCTACTAAGAAATCACTTCTTTGTCAATGAGCTCAATAGCCGACAGGAGAGAATAGGGATTTCAAAGTAAGACAGTACCCGTAATTATGCCTACCATATAATATATACCTAACAACAGACACAACCTACGGCTAATTTAAAAAAATGTAGGTATGTATTTAAACATAGTTTGACCAGTTCTCATGGAACAACTGCGACCGCCTTAAAGTTCATTCAACCGACGCCATTACATCACTAGCCAAATTGACCTTCAAGATCTTAAATATGGGAAATTCGGTTTTATTGCTTTCAACATTAAGTTTATATCTCTTCGAGGCCGTTCGTACGGATACTAGTTAATTAAGGAAACGCTGGCGGCATGCCATGCATTCTGTACTCGAGTATTTGTGCCTTTAAATAAATGAGTTCGACTTTCACAGATTTATGTTCAGTATGCTTAGTGCGAGTTTTGCCCACTGAGTTTCTCGCCGGATCTTCTCAGTGGGTCGTGTTTCCGATCGCGATTCTGCGAAGCACGGCTCTTGGTAGGGTTCGTGTTAGCAACATCGTCAGGCTTGAGCCCCGTGAGCTCACCTACTAGTCCGGTGACGCTGACATGGTCTATCTAGACCATCAGCTTAGGTAGAGAAAAAAAGGGTGTTTTAACGTTCTCGATCGCGTAAAAGTTAACTCAAATTTGTATGCAGTTAGAACAGCGCCCCTAGCGGCAAAAGCAGGCAAACGTTCCAACTCCATACGAATTTGGGTTAACTTTTAAGCTATCGAGAACTTTAACAAACTCGCACTAATCATACAGTATCCTAGAAGTCTCTCGATCTAGATAACGCAGGTTCGAAACCTTCGTAACGTGTTCAAATGGAAAACTTTTTATCAGCCTTTGTTGATTATCGATCGGCTATTAAGCAATCGTTATCTATTTCATTATCAGTGTTATTGAATAGTTACTCAATCGCTCGGATTCGGGATAATTTTTCGTTTAGTACATTTGGCTTCGGAGAAATTAAAATCATTAATACCATCGATGATACGTGCCTAGTGTTGTGATGTCTGCATTTTAATTGACTTTGTAGACAGTCTATATGAAGGTGTGTAATCGCCGTCGCTCATGGCTATCAGCAATTTGAAGAATACAGTAAAGTCACTGTCTACACATAGACAAGGACAGTGCGCTAGTGAAAGAGAATTAATTCCAGAGCGGCTTTATTTATTTATTCCTACCTATTCTAGTAACCTCGAGGAGCCATGGATGGTCGGTCTACTTAGTGAAAAGGATTCATGTCATTGAAAGTGGTTTTAGTATGAATGAGCCCTAATTTATAGACCAAACCTCAGTTTGTTTCCATTAGTCCAATGGGCGTATACTATTTGCGGCCAACGACCTTCAAATATTTCCCATTGAGTTTCCGCCCGTAGCTTCGCCCATGAGAACTACACTGTATATTCTTTCCCAGAGCTCAAACTATTTTCATACAGAGTTTCTTCAAAAGCATTTCATCGGTTTAGACATGAAAACACAATAGACCTTGATTGAGCTGCTTTCATATTAATAATGATGTATTATTTGATATTTAACTTTTATTATTTAACAGTATCGAATATTTTATTAAAACCTTATATTCTGCCCCAAATTAATGCGTGTCTACTATGGAAAACAAGGTACACGAAAACCCGTTTTATAGAAGCGCGAACAAACAGACAGACAAAAAAAATTCTAAAATCGCCGGTTTATGTTGTATTATTATATATATTTTTATTGCCCTAGTAGGCAGACGAGCGTACGGCTCACCCGATGGGAAGTGGGTACCGTCATCCATGGACTTCAGCAATGCCAGAGGCAGAACCAAGCCGCTGCCTAACTTTCTTCTTGTAACTCTACTTGTAACTTTCTATTTTTATTACTTTATTCCAATGTACAGACACACCGGATTCTACTGTTTTATTATGTTACAGAAGAATAAGGAATGTTACAAGGAAATACACATAATGAAGTTGACTAATTAAATGCTTACTGTTTGTTTGTTGTAATTTTCCTTTAAAAATTCAAAACAAAAAATCATTGTAACCGAGTAAATCAAGCTTTTAACGTTGAACCAGTTAAATATGAATAATATATTTACAAACTTCTATGTACGTTAAAGTAATTGAGTCGGTATGTTATTGGTATTGGTTATTGGTATTGTAAACAGGAAAAAATTTACAAAGAAACTTAAAGTAGACAAGGATGCTGATCAATTGAAATAAATTTTACATTAAAAAATAATACTGTAACATATTGATTGAATAATCTTTTTCTCCAAAATTTACCTAAAATCGCCTTTTCGCATTAAAACTGTACTTCGAAATTGAGTTAATACGCGTAAACATTTGGTATCACCAGTATTTTTTTCATAGATACTGTCAAAAGAGCGTAGTTTAGTTTTCGTTTTTTTAATTTTTTTATTTTATCTATGTTTTGACTACTATAACAAAAGGTAAGACAGATATGTAACTGGTAACAAATAAAAAATAAATGTTGCAAATATATATCAGTGGTGTGGATTGGGAGAGGCCTATGTCCAGCAGTGGACGACTGTGTGCTGTTGATGATGATGATGATGATGATGTTGCAAATATGATTAGTATTAAAAATAATACATGTTAAACCTTTAAGCCCCTCTCCTGTAAAATTAGTAAATTTTGAGATTATACAGTTTTAATGCGAGAAGACTAAATGTTACAAAATTTTACGTAATACATACTTCAGTAAACATTGTCATCAAGTATCAATACCAGGATTTTAGTATTGCGATTTCAAAGCGCGTAAAATAGACCTACCTTCAAATATTCTGGTTTGAGCTGTTCCCCGTGGTGTAGGTCTACCAGTTTGAGGTTCAGGTTTAAGTTGAGCGCCTTCGCTGTCAGCAGTACAGCCCTGCAGGGCGCAGAGCCGGGAACGTAGTACAGGTCGATGGTCATCTTACTGTGGACATGATAAGAATTAAATAAACGATGAAGGGGATTTTACGGGACGAACTCGGACATGCAAGAACTGGCGGTAGGACCTCTTGTGAGTCCGCGCGGGTAGGTACCATCACCCTGCCTGTTACTGCCGTGAAGCAGTAATGCGTTTCGGTTTGAAAGGCGGGGCAGCCGTTGTAACTATACTGAGACCTTATATCTCAAGGTGGGTGGCGCATTTACGTTGTAGATGTCTATGGGCTCCAGTAACCGCTTAACACCAGGGGGGGCTGTGAGCTCGTCCACCCATATAAGCAATAAAAAAAACTACTGGAGTCCACAGACAACAACGTGAAGGTTAATTGATACTTATGAGATTGAAGTCTTGTGGACTTATTAAGGTTGAATTTATTGTCATCCTACCTTCTAAACAGAACGCATGGTTGCTTAGCGGAAGAAATTAGTAGTTCTATGGGATACCCAAACTGCCAAAATTCTTACAAATAGTCTTAACAGAAATTAGGAATAAAGTTACGACTAAGGGTATTGCTAACGAATGACGTGTTGTCGCAGGTGATTAAAATACTAATATTGCCGACCTCCAGTATACGAAATAGAGTAGACTACATTAAAAGAAAATAATTATTTGTCCTTTCCAGCAAACAAGATTAGACGTTCGTTTAAAAATCATAACAATAACGCAGGTAGCATTCACAGGTCAGTCTTTTATTGAAAAGTAATCGAATAAACATTTTCGAGAGACAATTTTCAACGATATGTCAAGGATTTGTTTTGTAACGATGCCGGAAATTGTAATCGAAGGTAAACACCGAAATTAAAAAAAAAATAGCCGGCAGTAATTTACTTAGGTTTCTGTAACTTCGATTTGTCTTTTGACTAATTGTTTTTATGATGTTAGAAAAACTCCTTAGTTTTTTTTACTATCTCTGATTATGTTGTTGTATTTCACCTGATTGGTTTAGATTAAGGTAGTTTTGATTTTTTTGTTTTATTATTATTGCTTTTGTTTTATTCCGAGATTGTAGTTATTGTTTTTATTTAATTTTTGTGTACTATATGAAATGTTAGTGAACGTAATATAGATGCAAAATCTAAAGTAAATGAAATAAATAAATAAAAATAAAAGGATTTATAGATAAATAATGTTTCATTTGCGTACTTCATAGTTCATACGTAGCATTAGCCAGCTAGGGTTCGACACAAAATGAGAAATCCCGAAGTGTGGAAGGTACCTAATTAATCTTATACCTTTAAACGAGCAATTCTTGTATATTAATATATATACCTATGTATATAATCTGAATCTCGGAAACGGCTCCAACGATTTTCATAAAATTTAGTATAGAGGGGATTTCGGGGGCGATAAATCGATCTAGCTACGATTTATTTTCAGAAAATGTTGTTTTATTCGTGTTTTCAATAATCAAACTCTTCCCGACATCTATTGGCGAATAATAATACTATTTTTCTTAATTGAAGGCAACTAACCGCTTTAAAGATACAACAAGGTGGCGTTATAAAAAAAACGAGCAAAGCTCGGTCATCATCTAGTTAATCATAATTCGTGGAAATAAAAAATTTGTAGTTTCCGGCCCGATTTTTGCCAAAACGATTTTATGTAGACAAAAACTCAACACTGGTGCCTAAGATCATACTTGAACAAGGGGAAACTAAGTACCCTATGCGTCACTTGCAATTACCTAGATTCGTTGAAGGTTTTCGCCATGCTAATAATAATTAGCAGGCTTCTGCAGTTCTTTGAGATATTTGAAAACGTTATTTTCATATATTCATATATGTATTCTTGGCGTGCTATTAGCACATCAGTTTCAAATGGGAATATGTAGTTCTCAATCATAATACAAACTTTAATATGGTTAGTTAAGCTAAAGCAGTATCAGACGGACCAAGATACGTCCGACATTTCATAAAGTTCTTCATCTGAAATACGACTTTAACTAAATCTGTATAATTCCATCGAAAATCTGAGATAGATTGTTACAACCTCCGATTCGGGACCTCGGCAGGCGTAAATGGTTTGCCACATAAACCAGGCTGCATATACGACTCCGCTATTGTGCGGCATGCTTCCATATCCTTCTATCTAAAGCCGGTATTTAGGACGCATTTAGCAGAATTTCTCGAAGGTTCTACCACTAGTAAATTGAATTTGTAACAAAAACTATTATATAAGTTTGGCTGAATAGACTGCAATCATATTGTTTGTCTTTAGACAACAGGTTTCGCGTTTAGGTAGTCTGGTACGTTCTAGTGACCAAATGACCTTCAAGTTAGAACACGACTTATGTTCTATACCAACATACAATATGTAATATTAATAAGTAATAAGTATACTTAATTTATTTAAAAAAAGGATTTTGTGTGACTCATTTAAAAATATTTGTAATTTTAATTGACGGTAAAATTGTTATTACAATGAATTTATTGCAATTATTATATTTTCTATATTTCGCCTAGACAAGAAAAAAATATGCCTTCGAGCGAAGCTATTCATATAATGGATAGGTTGTTTGGTTGGTTTACAGAGTGATTTACTATAGTTTTTTGAGATCCGGTACACAAATAGTATCACATATGTATAACAAAAACGAAAAACCATGACTCGTCAAACGTTTCGGCATTATTCTTCGATAAGATCTCACACTGTTAGAACATGATTATTTTAATAACATTACATTGCTTATAATTGGAAACTACAAGTCATCTCTGATGACAACTACCTCAACTGATTAGATTTTTTTTATGCAATTCAGACAATTTCCTGTACGTAAAAAAAGGTTACCAGAAAACGCCGCGCCGTGATAGACTTATTTGTTTTATTTTATTTTATTACCGATTTCAAATGGCTGATTTATCTTTTGAATTTAAATAGACACACTTTACTGTGATTAGTGATGTATGATACGAATGATGAATGTAAGCCCGTTTAAATTTAAAAAGAATCATGTGAAAATACCGGCCGGTTTCTGTAGCGAATTTGTTTGTGTTACTGATAAATATACAGTTATCAGCTCAACACGAACAAAATGTTATGATTTGATTATTTCAATAATATTATTCCAGGCTCAACAAAGCAATTGACCTAAAAGATCGATTAAAAACATGTCTAGACTGACGGTAATACTGAATTCACCATATTAAAAACGATTCGAAATAATATTTCAGTTTTAATGTTTGTTAATATTTCAATTTAAAAACTGGAACGGTTCTAAAGAGTTGGATGAAAAGAAATTCTAATAACTTAGCAAGGGTTATAGTCTGGTTAAATTAGTTTTTCCAGAATCTTTCTTACATATAGCACGCAAAAACCCTGGTAACCTGAAAAGGCTCAACGGTATAATAAAAAGGCGAATACGTAGAGGCCGAAACCCAAAGCGGTATTTTTAGCAGTCGAAAAAGCTTTCCAACAAAGCTCTTCACGAGACAAAACATAGGAATAGGTGGAGAGAAACAGTGAGAAAACTATAAAAGAGTCACGATTCTCAACAACGAAGGAACGACAGATTAAGAATACATTACAATTTCGTTAAATGGCACTATGGCCACAGATCCCACGGTCGGGACAGAGCATCTCTGAAGCCGCGCGCGTCTCCCATAGGGTGCGGTCACAGCGTCAAATACTAAATCGACGATACGACCTTGTTGCGGAGGTATTTTATTGTATCGGGACGGTGAAGGTGGCAAGTTTACTTTGTGAATTCTATCGGTTCTGCTACTCACTGAATACCACGTGGACAGTGAGCTCCTCTGCTCACCTAGAGTAATTAATATAAAATAGCAGTGGACACGAAACTTGAAATTGTAGGGAAATTTCCGTAAATCAGAGTTAAACACGAAAATACAAATTCGTTAAAATAAAATAAAAAAATACCGATATGTTATTAAAACTACGTTTAATTTTGAGTTTGTTTTTGTATTTATATTATTTCTAACGTTTCTAAAGATAGATTAAACCTTAATGTATTTTTAATTATGTCTACGTTTCGGAGAAGTCGAACAAAATGCAACGCATTGCTCAGTATCAAAATAACCGGATTTTCCGGTGGTAGGACCTCTTGTGAGTCAGCGCGGTTAGGTACCACCGCCCTGCCTATTTCTGCCGTGAAGCAGTAATGCGTTTCGGTCTGAAGTTTAGGGCAGCCGTTGTAACTATACTGAGATCTTAGAACTTATGTCTCAAGGTGGGTGGCGCATTTACGTTGTAGATGTCCATGGGCTCCAGTAACCACTTAACACCAGGTGGGCTGTGAGCTAGTCCATCTAACTAAGCAATAAATAAAAAATTTTACGCAATTAACATATTTCAATTTTATTTATGTTTGAAATCTGAAGCGAACTTGACAACTAACTAGTTGATAAAAAATATACATCTTTATAAATCATGAACCAGTTTCGATATCCGTTATTCTCTTTGCATGTCGACCACTGAAATCGGTTCATTTGCTTTCATTTCCTACAAATACGAATTACCAAATAATATATCGTATAGCGTGGGTACAAAACTGTATCTATTATGAAATACAATTGGAAAAAATGAGCATGGGCACGAACAAATTATTCAATTATTTTTAGGGTTCGCTGTGTAATAAAATAAAAAATTAAATTCTACTTTTCTAAAACTAAATCGTTTCAGAATAAAATATCCAAAGCAAATGATGTAATAACAAACTTACGCAAATTTGTAAAATAACTGTTAAAACTTAACAAACACAGGTCCGTTAATGGCGGCGTCTAAAAACTGAATAAACGCGAGAGTAGGGATACCATGTTTTATAGTTTCGAGCGAATGCATGACGCATGGCGAAGGACGCATTCAGTATTTCACCCAAAGAGTTTTTGTAGTGACTTGCATATTTCCAACAAAATAATATCAACAGCAATTGTTGACTATACTAAAACATGGTTTCACTATTTTCAATTCAGAACATATTATATTGTTTACGTGAGTTTTTGGTGTACTTTATAAAGCAACTTTTACTGGCCATTTACTGGTGGTAGGACCTCTTTTGAGTCCGCACGGGTAGGTACCACCGCCCCGCCTATTTCTGCCGTGAAGCAGTAATGCGTTTCGGTTTGAAGGGTGGGGCAGCCGTTGTAACTATACTTGAGACCTTACAACTTATATCTCAAGGTTGGTGGCGCATTTACGTTGTAGATGTCTATGGGCTCCAGTAACCACTTAACATCAGGTGGGCTGTGAGCTCGTCCACTAAACTAAGCAATAAAAAAAAAAAGCAATATTTTGTTTTCATAGTAAATTATATCTATGAATATCTCTTTGATAATACGTTCCACTCAGCAAACAATATTGATGTTAGTTAAGCCCTTCAGGCAATGAAACACATCTATATAGTTGATACATATGTATGTCCGTATTTATAAGTAAAAGAAATTTGAGTAGTTTATAGAATATTATGGTAAATATAATATTCGCCCTATTGTAGCTTTGTACGTTAGGAACGGTTATGAATACGGAAATAAATGTATTTTATAAAATAGATCGCTTGGTAATGTATAAAGACGTAAAATTGAGAGAAAAAAATGTAATTAACCTTTCTTTCCTCTGAATGTTGTATAAACTGAATATTGTGAATATTGTACAATATTTGTATTTACAATTTACACTTATTTATAGTATGTATGTACTTCTGTGTTTGTGTGTTTAATTTATATTGCAATGTACCTACTATTCTATTATTTACTTCTTTTTATTTTTATTGCTTAGATGGGTGGACGAGCTCATAACCCACCTGGTGTTAAGTGGTTACTGGAGCCAATAGACATCTACAACGAAAATGCGCCACCCACCTTGAGATATAAGTTCTAAGGTCTCAGTATAGTTAAAACGGCTGCCCCGCCCTTCAAACCGAAACGCATTACTGCTTCACGGCAGAAATAGGCGGGGTGGTGTTATCTACCCGTGCGGACTCACAAGAGGTCCTACCACCAGTGTGGATTACTTATCATTCTGCATTACTTTTGGTTGACTAGTAGAGTATGCCTTAGGCATTAAGTCCGCCAATGTACCTACATACGTGAAGCGTAATGATTAAATAAAATCAGTTTGTAGTAAATTTCCGCACTCAGGATCCTCACTCGTAAAGTTAACACAGCAATATAGATTAAATGATTACGACACTAATATCGACCGTCAGAAAACTACCAATTTTGCTACGTCACGTTTTATTCATAAAGAATGAATGACATACATTTTTTTAACTACGATTATATAGCATGAAACGTTTTTATTTTTTCGTTTACGGAAAAGCTGAGTAAGCGACTGATAGTGGATGGTATCATATGATAAACTTGAAAAAGGTACTCGTTGTTTTAATAAATACGTATTTCGAGAACATGCAATGTAAAAGGAGGGTACTTCACGGACGCAACCCGTGCTGTCTTGACCTAAGGATGGCCCGCGTCACGAGAATTAAGTCTGAGGGAGTCCGTATAGAGTCCCTTCTTTATTTTGCGGGAAAATCGTGTTTCCGGATCACTCGTAATTAACAACACTAACGGAAACTAACCCTTAATGACAGGTAATTACATCTGCTAATAGCGTAAGCGGTACTAGAACCTAGTACAGACTCCAGTGTGCTTAGTGCGAGTTTTTTTGCGAAAGGGAAAAAAACAGGTTGGTCTTGGCGTGATATTATATAGCCTATAGCCTTACTCAATAAATGGGCTATCTAACCCCGAAAGAATTTTTCAAATCGGACCTGTAGTTCCTGAGATTAGCGCATTCAACCAAACAAACAAACTCTTGAGCTTTTTAATATTAGTAGTAGTATAGATTAGAGAGTAATTAGTTAGCACAATAATCCAATGTCACGAAATAACATCTCAGTCGTATATAAAAATAATAAATGTGAAATTAAACCAAAAAAGTTGTTTTAATTATATCTACGGATCACAGAAACCGAAGAAGATACTAAATCATCAGTTTATTTACCTCGACTAACAAGACTTGTGGTGTTTTCGTTCCACTGTGTATTTATCTTATTTACCTCTCCCATTTATTTGATAATATTAATCAATGTGAGGATAACCTTATTTTGTAATCTGTTTGTGATCATATACTTGAAGTTCAAATAAAATAAACCGATAGCCGCGTACATTCGCGTATGAAATAAACTGAATAAAACCTGAACTACCCTGGCAATAATTTCTGAGTTTTTTTAATTTAAGGCTATTTTTAATTAAGTTATTTTTAATTTAAGGTATTTTTCATTCACTAGTATACATCGTTGGAACAACGGCAACCGTAAGTTCCAGCGGAATTATAACATCTTCACCCTTTGCTAGAAGTAATAGGGTTCTGTGTCTTCACCGTAGACAGTAGAACAACGCTGGTTTATTATTAGAATCTTTGCGCTTATAATGCTTTATTATACACAGAAATCAGTGGCGTAACTATAGAGTGGCGCTGACAGAATAGCACGGACCTCAAAGCAACGTAACATCCATACAAATATGTAAATAAAATTGGTGTCTGTTTGTAATATTAAGTTTTTTACTACATGCAGATAAACGGGACATATATGTACCAAAATAAGTTTTTTTACAATTTTTGTCTGTCTGTCTGTTTGTTCCGGCTAATCTCTGGAACGGCTGGAACGGGCGATTTTGATGGGACTTTCACTGGCAGAAATCTTATGTAATGAGGAGTAGCTTAGGCTACTTCTATTCTAGAAAAAATCTAAAATTATTATAAGATGTAATGTTTTGTTAAATTCCACGCGGACAAAGTCTCGGGCATAGCTAGTTTTTAATAAAATTTAATTAATAATTAGTAATTATAAATCTTAAACATATTTTATTTATTATTTAACCCATGCTTTTGAAATTAAGTTTAATAGATATTTAACTAAAATTCACACAATATTATTAATAGTGTCGGGTAACTCCTTCAATGATACATTTATATTAAATTACAACTTGACGATTTTGACTGGGGGCCCATCCAATGAATTTGTACGTGAATTTGTATTTGTATGTATTAAGAGCAAACTATATTAAACAGTTCATAATGCGAAATACGTTAATGTCACCGGTCATCGTTCTCGTCGAACCCGTCGCTTGCGACGAAGGGCTCGGTGAGAAAATTAACCCACAGAGACAGTCCACTGAGTTTTTCGCCGGGTCTGTAGGTCGCGTTTCCGATCCGGTGGTAGATTCTGCGAAGCACTCTCTTGCTAGGGTTAGTGTTAGCAACGTCGTCAGTTTTGAGCACCGTAAGCTCACCTAACAAGTAGGTGAGCTTACGCTGTCATAGGCTCTCAAGGCATATGTAGGAAAAAAAAAGTTAATGTCAAGTGTAAAAACTTTGAACTTATTTTACATACCATATTGAATTGCATAAATTTACAAAATATAGGAAACACTTTTATGGTTTATAAAGGAGGCGACATACATGAGTCTTAGTTATGTTATCAATCCAAAAAACGCTTGTCATTCATTTCTTACTTTATGTCACTTTATCACGAATTCGAATGTTATGTAAAGGTTATATACATTTCAATGCAATTCAATGTATGATGTAATATCGAGATTAGTAGTCTGATACGTCTAGAAAATAAAAACCAGGTGTCTGATAAAAAATGGAAATCAATCGTAAATGTTCATGGCAGTACTTTTACTACTCAGAATGTGAATGTATTAAGATTAAACGTTCTATTGTGTTCTATGGTGCCATTGGATTACATTTTTTTCGAGGGTCTATTTTAGTTTTGCTGAATTGGCAGTTGAATTCATGTGGTTGAGCCTGAGACAATTTGCTCTTTTTTTTATTGTCATATAGACGAGCATGCGGCCCACCTGATGGTGAGTGGTTGCCATCGCCTATTGACGTCAGTAATGCCAGGGGCTGCCAAGCCGCTGCCTACTGTGCTCACATCTACCCTTTTTCAGGAAAAAATCGCTCACTAAAAACTCCTGCCGCTCACAGCCGGCGCCCTACCCCAGACCGGACCGGAGCCCAGTCGGGGCTATTGAGACGGCGGAATCACATGTACCCTAGCAAGAGTAATATTTCGCTGAATCTATCACCGAATCGAAATGATGACCCATTGAGAAGGTCCGGTGAGAAATTCAGTGGGTTGTGTCTGTGGGCTAAGTTACACGTCGTACTTGTCGCATTCGACGACTTCAATGAGAACGCTCACCGGTGCTTGGAATGTCTAAAAGCACCGAGAGTGGATATTGAGGATTCGAAATGACGTCCTTGAGGTTTATATTATTATATAAGTAGAAGCTGGCCACACTGTTAAGGCCTTGCGCCTCCCATATATGAGCGTCGCTGCAAGAAGTGCACGTCCGTCATGATTGGTCTACAATGAATGGTCTGTGAAATCTTATGTGAATCTATCTTGAGTCGTCGTGGCCTAAAGGATAAGACGATGCATTCGTGTTGAGCGATGCACCGGTGTTCGAATCTCAGGCGGGTACCAATTTTTCTAATGAAATACGTACTCAACAAATGTTCACGATTGACTTCCACGGTGAAGGAATAATATCGTGTAATAAAAATCAAACCCGCAATATTATAATTTGCGTAATTGCTGGTGGTAGGACCTCTTGTGAGTCCGCAGGGGTAGGTACCACCGCCCTACCTATTTCTGCCGTGAAACAGTAATGCGTTTCGGCTTGAAGGGTGGAGCAGCGGTCGTAACTATACTTGAGACCTTAGAACTTATATCTCAAGGTGGGTGGCGCATTTACGTTGTAGATGTTTATGGGCTCCAGTAACCACTTAACACCAATTGGGCTGTGAGCTCGTCCAAGCACCTAAGCAATAAAAAAATATATCTTAAGTCGTGTGTTATTACACTTGAATTACCAAAAGTACTTCTGCAGCTCTAAAGGATATTATAGTGCTACATACTACCAGTGTATTATCTATGCTAAACACCACCATCTTGTCAATTTTGCAACCATTATATGCCTATTTGAAGGGTCGGAGTCTTAAAATACAATGAGACTTTAACCCTGTGCGTCAAGGCGGATGCTAGCTTTCACATTATTTAAAAATTATATTGAGAGATCTAAGAGTTCTATGAGACCACTTAGCACAAAAAGTCTTGAGCTTTTGTGGTTTTAGGAGTTTCAATGTGTTTTTAGATTTGCGGCGCACAAATCGTAGACAGCCTTAAGTCTACTTTTATCTCACTACCTATGTTTTTCCTACAATTTTAACATATATATTCAATAGAACAATGCTTCCCAATTAAAAAAAAAACGTAGAATAAACAACAAAAGAAACGTTAATTTTTTTCATTATTCTTTTCACACCAAAGGACAATGGGTTCCGGTGGCTGCACGTTCCTTGGACCCGAAACATCCCGTCATCCTTGCGGGAAAGGTCGCGGGATATATGATATCCCGAAGGCATTGGCCACGAGAAGGCTGTCAGTTGTTTACAACGATCTTTTTGTGAACCGGTCTGATGTTTTGAAATACAATAACTAATTCTAATGAGTGAAACGGTTAGAAACGTTTTACCGTTTACTTTCGTTATTTTAATTGGTAAATAAAGGTTGTGAGTAGTTCAAACTTTTTGGTCACGTGAATGTTTGGGAATGGGAATCGAATCCACGATCGTCAGCCCAGCATTCTGAGCGATCACCACTGCCCCACCGGATCAGTCAATAATAAAATATTTAAAATACCGATGCATTAAAGTGTTCATTTATTTTCGGAAATCCCATATTTCTTTCTTGCCCATACACTAGCTCGACAAAATAATTCTATAGCTACACATGTTTTGATTTAGAACTAAATGTAGCTCTCCTGAATTGCAGAACCTGATAGATCCAGAATTATTGACAAATCGGTTAACGGTTGAAGTGTTATGCTACCTTCATTTTACTTACGGTGTTTTTATTATTTTAAGCTGATCGAGGACTTTTTGGCGGGAATACAAGCTGTTGAGGTGTGTGATTTGTTTTTTTAATTTAGTCTTCTTCAGGTTTAAACGTGTAATAATGGTACTTTGTAGTATCTATGAAAGTGCCTATGTTAGTAAAAGCCTAAGTAAAATCGTTAGTGGTGACTTTTCTAGTTCTTCAAACAAATACGTTAAGTTCTCAGTAAATTGTCATCATTTGATAGATTTAATTTAATTTTTTTTCATCCAACAGTTACGGTGTTATCTCATCTCATCTTATATAGCTGCATCATATTAATTTGATTTCATTCCATGGTCAAATTCATTTCCATTATCATTTCGTTTTATTATTTTGTTTGATTTTACTTTTCATGCAACAGGCAGGCAGTATTCCTCCTTTTTACAATAGATTTAAGATAAAGGCTTTGTTTTCTTTGCTTACTCGGTAGACGAATGAGATAAGAAGGGAACGCGAAGAGCGAAGTTGTTTATAAAAGATTGGTTGTATGGTGTGATCCTTTCGCCTTTTCAGTTGAAAAAATGGAACTACCATTACCATCAAAGTGACAGTGTCAATATGACAGTTGCTGGATTGTTCAATGTCGATCTACATTTTAACTTTCTTCAACAAAACAAGAGTCTTAATTACTATATAATGTGATTTATTAGATGTGCATTATTTTATATATAAATCATAAAGTTTACTGCACAAAAAATGGGCGACAGCAGCGATTCCGAGGAGTTTTATGATGCTGAAGAGTTTACACCCACCAAGGGCTCGAAGTGAGTTTGTTTATTTTTACGTTGTTATTGTTATTACCTACCATTATTTTACAGCTTAAAATATTCTACCACACAGTTAAGTATCTCTAAACTATGAAACAAATTTGTGTAAAGTCTTAAAAATACCTTGAATGTTACTGTTAATTGTTGTCACACAGAAAGTCATAGAAGTATTTGAAAAGCAATTTGTATGTGTCCTTGGTGGGGCGAGCGGTGTGGTAGTATGTAGAAAACCGAATTGATCATCGATGCGAGACATATATGACAGTATAACAATGAATTATTGGAGTGAAGATCAATTGACATATTATATATAAGGATTGTATTAGCATATTGTCACATGCAACCATATTAGACCTCAGATTTAGTACAATTAATAAATATCTAAACATGTTTTGTGTTCATGTAAAGAATACCATCAAATTTTTTTTTTTTTCAATAATTCTTGTAAGATAATATCTTAAAATCAAATAATTTACATACAATTTAATCTAATGACAGAAACTCATATTTAGAACCATGTATATAATATTGTGATAACACTTATAAATAATTGTCCTTGTAACTGTGTTATTTGTATTGAATAAAAACAAGTGTTATATTGTAATTGTTTTCATTTATTGGCGTCAGTCTCCCAGAGCGGTAAGTGGCGGCGCCCTGAGATCCTCCTCACAGTCTCCTGTTCACCGGCCGTCTGCCGGTGGTGACGTGTCTAGAAGTGGTGCGACTCGGCCCCATGTCTCTCGACCCATAGACCACCTCTTGGAGAGTGACGCGACTGGGCCTCATGCAACATCAGCATACCAGGGACACCCTTAGACACAGACTCGTTATATCCTCACCATAAATGAAACATATTCTGTCTTTAAGAGTAAATATGTATGATGCTTAAATTTGTAGTGATTAAGTAGAGATGTAATTAAAAACGAAAACAACTTCAACATATTTAAGTAATAAAAAGAAAATATATTTCTATAAAAACTAGCTATTTCTATGAAAACATTTCACTTGTTGTCTGTGTCTGTGTGTTGTCAGAGAACACTCTTGTAAATGTGTGCTGTTAAATAACAGATGGATATGTTTTTCTTTATTTCTTTAACAAAAATTAGTATAGCAATAATAAATTAGCATATTTTACTTAAAAAGTAATAAATCATCAATAAAATGAACATAACTTTGTTCACCAACTGATTCCATCAAAACAAACAGCAAATATCAGTTGATCATCTAACCAAATACATATGTATGTCATTAACCATGTATTAATAGGTTTGTATAATATTTTTCAGAAGGTCATCTCTGTGTAAAAGCACCAGTGTGACAGAGAGTTCTGATGTGCCAGTTCAGGACAAAACAAAAATCACAAATACTGATCAAACATTGTCCGTTGGAACCAGTACGCCCACAGCTGAAGTCACTCCCGAAGATGATAGGAATTCTATTAAAAATGTATGTATCTACCATAAACAAAGTCTTTAAATATTCAGTGGAATTTTGTTATATTTTTATTTATTAATCATTGTCATTCAATAATTAACCATATTTATTTATCATGAGCGTGAGGTTTTCTTTTTTTGCTTATTTGGGTGGAAAGGCTCAGGGCCCACCTGGTGTTAAGTGGTTGCCGGAGCCCATAGTCATCTACAACATAAAGGCTGCCACCCACCTTGAGACATGAGTTCTAAGGTCTTGCTTTTAACAGTACACCGGCTGCTCCACTCTTCAAACCGAAACGGATTTCTGCTTCACGGATTCCTTAAATTATTAATTGTAAATATCTGTGGGAATTTGTTTTGTGAATTTCTTAATTTCATTACTAAAAGTTTCTAATTAAGAATACAAAATTTTGATTAAAGGTGGTGCAAGGCAGAAGACGATTTCAAGAGCTGCGTCGTTGCATGCAAACTGAAGAGGATGATGAAGGGATTCCTGAATTAGAAAATGATCAACAGACATATACTTTAGAACATCCATTTAAGTGAGTGTAGATTAGAGATGAAACGGATATCCGGTAACTTTTATCGTCGTCGTGGCCTAAAGAATAAGACGTCCGGTGCATTCGTATCTAGCGATGCACCGGTGTTCGAATCCCGCAGGCGGGTACCAATTTTTCTAATGAAATACGTACTTAACAAAATGTTCACGATTGACTTCCACGGTGAAGGAATAACATCGTGTAATAAAAATCAAAACCCGCAAAATTATAATTTGCGTAATTACTGGTGGTAGGACCTCTTGTGAGTCCGNAGACGTCCGGTGCATTCGTATCTAGCGATGCACCGGTGTTCGAATCCCGCAGGCGGGTACCAATTTTTCTAATGAAATACGTACTTAACAAAATGTTCACGATTGACTTCCACGGTGAAGGAATAACATCGTGTAATAAAAATCAAAACCCGCAAAATTATAATTTGCGTAATTACTGGTGGTAGGACCTCTTGTGAGTCCGTACGGGTAGGTATCACCGCCCCGCCTATTTCTGCCGTGAAGCAATAATGCGTTTCGGTTTGAAGGGTGGGGCAGCCGTTGTAACTATACTGAGATCTTAGAACTTATATCTCAAGGTGTGTGGCGCATTTACGCTGTAGATGTCTATGGGCTCCAGTAACCACTTAACACCAGGTGGGCTGTGAGCTCGTCCACACATCCAAGCAATAAAAAAAAAAAAAAAAAGGTATCCGACCTATCCGGCCGGATTTCAGATAGTAAAATTTAAGAAAATCTCGTGGTTATACAAAAGGCAAATAATACCACAATAGGTTACAACTTTTATTTTTATAAGCGCACGTCAAAATTGATTGTTTGATTAATTAGTTTGTTTAATACTCAACATTAATAAGTCGAAAATTGTGGTGAATGAATACCAAATCGTCGTCGCGATCTCCGTTACGTGCGACAACACCCGAACGCGCACGAATATTTTCGAAAAGGCCGAATATCCAGCGCTCCGGCCTCGCAGCTTGCCGAATATTCGGTATCCGGTATCCGGCTAAACCACTATCCGTTTCATCTCTAGTGTAGATTTCTGTTTTCTTTTGTAAACTGTAATAATGAGGGATCCTATTACCTACATTGATACTTGGGGATCCTTTGGTTCTAGTAATAATGTTTGTACAGAAATTACGTCTTATTAAGACAACTGTTGCCTAAAATACGATATGTTCGTAAATTTATATGTTCACAAATCCAGTGAAATTCTCCAGAGGAATATTCTATTTTTTTGTATTAAGTGTTATCTGTAATTTATAAGAGGCAATAAATTATTTTTAATCATTTTATTCAGAATGTCAGTGACAAGCAGCACTGACCTAGTTTTCGGAGAAAAGAATAAAATAAATAATGAGTCACAAGTAAACCATTTTGGTCAAAGCTTATTAGCTAAAGAAGAAATAAAGATTTAATGAGGTTATTAATTTAAGTTAAGCTAAATGTTGCCAGTAAAACGACGAACAGACAACCTGGGTGAGCAGCAGTAGAAATAAATAATAAATTAATTGTTTGTATTGCAGAGTAATAGCCCACGACACTATGAGCTTGCAGAGTATGACGTCACTCGGCAGAATTGGAAGGATACTAAGCGGAGCTGCTGAATCTCAACGTAAGAAAAAATATATATTCTAATGAGATTTTTATTGAGACATTTAATTACTTTATTTGGTGTTGTTTAATGGAACAACACTCATAATATTGTACTAGGATAAGTTTTTTCGTCCTCCTCTCGTTGTATTCTTCAACTGTGAGGGTCGTAACAACACTTTTCTCTCACACAATTTTTCTCTATCTCTTTCTGTCTCTGGCGATTGGGCTGATAGGTTCTATAAACTATAAAAATTAAACATCAGATTAATAAATAAATAAACCGGCTATCTTCCATGATAACAATTGTGGAACTGGCCCTGACCTTCCTAAGCTTGTAAGTACCTTCTCCTTGATTTGTATAACCTACCCTGCCCTAAATTTCCAAGATGTTGACTCCTGGACTGAGTGCAAGCCATAACACTGTAACAAAAATAAATCAAAGATAATTACAGCATCGGCTAGCTGTGCACTAGGGGAGTATAAATATATATTCGTTTTTTAAGTAATCATGTTCGTAATGGGAGTTCATGCACGTGCTACTTTGAAGCCGCAGTACGTTCGGTTTGAAGAATTTGATAGTCTTTATTCTAGTGCACATAAGGTTTGTTCCAATTTAGGCCTTTTTAGTATTTGCACAATATTACAGTGATTTTTTAACCATAACGTCATACATGGGTCTCTGTAGAACTGTTCTCCAGTACAATGCCTTTGTTGGGGTCAATGTTGACCTCTGTGCATGTCAGCACATATTTTATTTAGCTTATACTGAATATTTACTGGTAGTAAGACGTCTGGTGAGTCTATACGGGTAGGTACTATCAGCCTGCCTGTTTCTGCGGTGAAGCAGTAATGCGTTTCGGTTTGAAGGGTGGGGCAGCCGTTGTACTGAGACCTTAGAACTCATATCTGAAGGTGGGTGGCAGCATTTAAGTTATAGATGTCTATGGGCTCTGGTAATCTCTTAACACCAGGTCGGTGGTGAGCTCGTCCATCCATCTAAGCAATAAAAATAATGCTTTTAAATTAAAAGCTTTCTAATGTCTCTCTTCTTTTTCTCCACCTTATCCCACTAGGTGGGGTCAGAACAGCTAATTTTTCTCTTCCATTCTCTTCTATCAGCCGTCATTTCAACACTCACTCCTCTCTCTTTCACATATCGTCATTCACACACTCTATCCATGTCTTCTTCGGTCGACCTCTTCCCCCTCTACCTTACACTACCATTTCCATACCACGCTAACCGTCCGCTCTTTAATTTGTGCTCTGATATACTCATTGCTTTCTAATGTCTGTTTTATAGCAAACATTCGCGATTCCATGACCGGCCAGTGCTCGTCGCGAGAGCCTTCCACCATATCCGACGACCCCGTCCCTACAGACTGTCGAACTCAGAACGGTAAGTTCAATAACAATGTTTCATGGTCACCCTATCTAGTATTGTCGTGAACAAAAACACAATAGTATGACTTTTTTTTTACCTATGCTGATAGCCTTTTGAGGCTATATCAGCGTTACCTAACGTGTAGGTGAGCTCACGGGGCTCAAACCGGGTGTGTTGCTAACACTGGCCCTAGCAAGAGCAGTGCTTCGCAGAATCTACCATCGGATCAGAAATGCGACCCACTAAGAAGATCCCGCGAGAAACTCAGTTGGCTGTGTGATTTATTCAATGCGTTCGTGGTTCAGCGGTAACGAGATTGCCTCGCGTACGTAGGGTCGCAGCTTCGATACAGAAAACATATACGTGTAATTTGTGATAAACGTCAAAATCGAAGACATTAGATTGCCTCCTCTAGGTCCCGGAGCGCAGCGGTAGCCGCGAGACACTGTGGCCGAATCCTCGTGTACCAACCTCTGCTAATCAGCACTGCGCCAATAACATTATGAAAAGCGCTTAAACTTAAAATGTTTTGGACTTGCGAAAATAAACGAAAAAAAAATCCGATAATTTCATTAACTCATTAAAAGATGGACACTGAAAATTGTTCGTCATATATTCACGTTATCATATATGAAACTACCGTCTAATTTTTCTATATAGTTACACGAAATTCAAACAGCTAAATCAAGCCTTAGTCGTGACGTCACCACGAAAACTGAAGTTAGAAAGGTCCGAAATAAGAAACACGAGATTAAACCATAAAAGTAATAATAATTATGTCCGGGACTCGTGGAAACCGTAGGAAATACTATAATCATACATGATAGTCTAGCTCACGAATGTCTATGGGTCAGACATTCACGATCTCGTGGACTGGCGCCAACACGCGAGGAAATAATCACAATTTATCCTATAATATTGCCATCTGTAATTGATTTAAAAAAGCTTTTACTCTTTAATCTCTAATGCGCGAACTACCATCTTGTTTTTTTTTTTTTAAGTTAGCACAATATTAAAGTGTCAACGAACAAAACGTGTGTTCACGAAAGCTGTGAAATATTTGAAACGTAGGAAATGGTAAAACGAACCGTCTTAGTTATTTTTACGATTTGCGAAAATCAATAAAAATATCTCTTATCTATTGAAGCTATCATGACTCCAGATATGTTGTAGCTAACCGTTAAATATAAAGGATTCCGAACCGAACCGTCAGACAACTTGCCGGGCTCCTGAAAGACCAGGAGATAAATTCCACCGCTATGCCTGCTGCGGGTAGGCGCTTGAGCAGGAAAATAATCACCTTTGTGCCTACTATGGTTCTCACGAAATTTTGCTCTAGCAACACCGTTACTTTCCTTCCAAATCACGTGCCGCACTCGTGCATCTATTTTTGAATTTCGATCATTTAAAAACACGTTCGGGATACACCATGTTTGTATGTCGTCTGTCATTGACCGCTTCACTTCTATAGCACTTACTTACCTTATTTACACGCACGCACAGAGTTCCAAACTCGTCAGCCGGTCGAGAAACGGGTCTTGATTTTATTTTGTTTGTCTATGATACAAAAGACGCAGCATAGAAACGCAGTACTTTTTGGTACATAGAGTGTAGTAGATATAGACAGGGCCGCTGGCTTACCGCTGGGTCACGATCGTTGGGTATGAGTGGACGGGTATTGAGGGTGGGCTGGTCTGTGACAGTTCTGGCCGAGCCCGACGTGATAGCCAGTACGAAGGCGAACAGCCTGAAGGCGCGGGGAGGGGGCGTGGCGACGGCGAGCGGGGCGCGGGGCGGGGGTGCCGCCGTGGTGACGCCGAGCGGGGCGCGGCCCGTGGCGCCGCCCCGGAAGAAGAAACGAAGTAAAACATCATTTTCATTTATACTTAAATGCATGCCGATCGCGAGACATTATGCACATTTTACATTTAAATGTAATAAAAAAAGGCAGCGACTTGGCTCTGCCCCTGACATTGCTGACGTCCCTGGTGACCACTTACCATCAGGTGGGCCCTATGCTCGTCTGCCGACAAAGGCAATAAAAAAAAAAAAAAAAAATAAACAGTTCACATTCACACAGGCAATTGTTCCCAATCTCGTTACCTGGATTTTTTACTCAAGGTTCTAAGTTAATAGTTGTGCTGACATAGTGCTCCGAAATCCTAAAGATTTTGACCTCTTAACTTTAAAAAGCTTCAATCATTTTTTGGTTTCGATTTCATCAAATACGTACGTACCTGTTAAAATGCATTGATTGTGCCTTGATCTGTCGAAGGATACCTGAATCGACCGGGCGGCGCCTAAGGGTCGTGCCAGACACGCTCTTTCACTGTATGATCTTTGACTGCTTTACTTCTCAGCGCCTTGTTACGAAAGACTGAAATCTATCAATATATCCTGCAGCATGTCTGTGGGAACTTAGCGCATGGTCATTGGGGACAGTTCCCACATAACGGCAGGCTCAGTGCCAGGACAACTATGCAAGGCGAACGGTTTTAGCATTAGCTTTAAAGCAACGGTGTCAACTTGTTGAATACTGGGTCGGCATCAGTCTAGTGGAGATGTAGGAAGGGATCAATGTTCGGCAGATGGCGACCGACTCGCGTCTTACAAGAACCATATTAAATTGGAGGTTACATTCGAATAAAAACCGTAGTACCTTTTAATAAGTATAATTTTGCTTTGCGGCAAAAGTAGATAGGGTGGCGATACTAAAACATCCTACTATCGATAACACATCGAATGTGTCGTTCGGTTTAGACAAGCTGCACGGCTCTCAGTCGTTGTCGCGCGGAGAGGGCGATGACGTCAGCATCTGCACCACCGACACAGACGAGATCCGATATGTGCCGAGGCGAGCGGGAGACATACCCGGTCTGGACTCTCTCGTTGTAGAGGTAATTTATTTGGACTCCCTTACCGGAACTTTGCAGCGTTATTGTAATGTTTTTGTAAGTCTGCGTTTCGGTTTGATGGGTGGGGCAGCCTTTGTAACTATACTTGAGACCTTAGAACTTATATCTCAAGGTGGGTGGCGCATTTACGTTGTGGATGTCTATGGGCTCCAGTAACCACTTAACACCAGGTGGGCTGTGAGCTCGTCCACCCATCTAAGCAATAAAAAAATTAAAAAATAGTCTACAGCAAAAAAAATTTTGGGTGCCTGTGGCCCAGAAGTTGAGATCGTTTCCGCTGCGAATAACGTAACGCAAATGAGCTCTGAAGAGATATGTTCATTTTATCGTCAATGAGTTCATAATTTATGACTCACTTCTTGTGATTTGAAGCGCAGGGTTGCCTATGTACGATCTTAGCCGATAAATAAATTACAATGAAAACAATAAAACCATTTATACACAGCCCCCACCGTCTAGTTCGGCGAACCAGTCCATGGCTCTACCCAGCCCGGCCAGCACCATAGAATCGCTAACCAGAGAATTTCAAGACTCATTGGAATTATCCCAATCTAAATATGGTAAGTGAAAAAATACATTATAATAAAGCCAGAAAAATGTCCCATTAAAAGTCAATAGTGGTGACACCCTGCTTCGTCTGTGACATGCGTGGCGAATTCCGGTGTCCACACTTTTAGGGAGGATTTCTGATAATTTTAATTTGTGTTAATTTTGTCAATCAATCTGTCTTAAGTTTTATAATTATTATTACCTGTGCGTGTGTCGGTCCCCCCAGCTAGCGACCGCTCGTCCCCCGAGTGGTCGGGCGTTGCCGCCGCGCGCCCCCGGAAGGACTCCACGCTCGACATCAAACACGCCCTGAGAGGTACCTACACACCAAAATACACTTTATTTCTGTTTTTTTTTACAGGAAAAGGAAAATTTGAAAAAAGTATGTTTGACGTCATTTACCTACGGAATTTCACGCAAACTGTTATGATGAACACCGGTGCATCGCACAACACAAATGCATCGGATGGCTTATCCGTTAGGCCACGACGACTTCAAAATTGTTATTGTCGTTGTCCAGGTGAATACGTGGTGAAGCCTTCAGACGACGACCGGGTCCGCAGCTCCGGCTCCAGGACTCACAGCGAGAGCCGGACGGCGCCGACCACGGGACATTCGAGTTTGGGATCCGGGAACAAGTACGGTCTTTAGTGTTGGTCGGAGCTGACACTTTGCCACGTGCGGCTGACGTGACACATAATGACTATGACATGTCCTTCTTCAAACGAGGCTTGTACTTAACGGTAGGCAGCGGCTTGGCTCTGCCACTGGCATTGCTGGAGTCCATGGACGACGGTAACCACTCACCATCAGGTGGGCCGTATGCTCGTCTGCCTACAAGGGTAATAAAAATAAAGAATAAATTAAGTTTTTCTCCTACCTACGCCGAAAGTTCGGTTTTCCTCCCGCTGTACAGGGAAGAAAGTCTAACTTTTCCTCCCTGAGTACTGACAAGCGCGCATGCGCGTTAGTGTCTACGTCTGCTCTCACGCACCTAACATTCTCCGCCATTGTTGTGCTCGGGTAATTTGCAATATTGTGTTTAGTGTAAAAGTGAAATAAACAAAAGGCAATAAAATTGAATAGTGAAGTATTAAACAAGGATGAGTTCGTCAGACAGTTCTTATTCAATTAGTAGTAGTTTATTTAAAAATTAAAAAACAGTTAAATGGTTTTTTATGAGTTGGGTGGCCGCCCCCCCCTACCCCCGGCCAGGGTTTCGCCTCTGGACCCCACCGGGGCTTTGCCCCTGGATCCCGGCTCGGTACTCCATGAACTTTCGGCCTGGTAGGAGAAAAAATGGTATGTGCACCGCGGGAATAAAGTAGGACATTTCCTCCCGCGTGTAAAATTGCCACCGGAGCCGAAGGTGAGAGTGGCAAACACGCGGGATGAAATGTCCTACTTTTCTCCTTTGGTGCACAATTTACTATAACTATCCAAGTCAAATGATGCGATTCGTTTATTCCTTTGCTCTCTCTCTCTCTCTATCTCTGTCGTTTCTGAACGTTTTAGAAAGGGACACATGTGAGTGTCGACAGTGATGTGTTGTGGTGCAGGGGCCGCGGGGAGGGGGGCGCGGGGCGGCGGCGCTCGGCGGGGGACGAGGCAGCGCTGGTGGGCGTGGCGCTGCGCACGCGCACCACGTCCGGGCACCACCTGTCCGACATAGAGATCCTGGAGCAGGTCACCGTGCTCAATCTGGACACCGGTACGGTGCACGCTCACACACATACATTGTATATGTCTAACGCCATAACTCCCTCACTCACACACACTCACGGCTCTGCTCACAAGTACATTTCTCTATGTCGTCTTGGTCTAAAGGATTACGCTGGCTCCACACGTTGGCCCCAACATAGGCCCCAAAGCCACTCGCCCAACGTGTGGATCTAGAAAATAGCATTAAACCCAACGTTGGAACGATCGTTGGTAGTTGGCCGTCAAGTGTCATTTTTATCAAAAGAAACTGTGCCAACGTTTGCAATCCGTCCATATATTGGCGCTTTGCTCAGTTCAGTTGCAACACGCGTCGAGTGTGCATGTCGCGATGTCATCCACCATCTCCTCTGACGTGGCTTTTTCTTTTTGAAGTGAAAACTTCTTTAGAATCGTTGTGATTTCAAACCGGATGCAACGGAAAAAACGACAGGTAAGAGACACAAATACAAAAATGTGTAGGATGAAGCCAGCAAAGAATGAGACAGAAATATACATACTATTTAATACAGCGCCATCTGTGAGATTTTTTAATACTAACGTGTGTATGAAAGCTCTTGTAGTGAATTTTAATTTAGGATTATACGTGAAATTAAAATATCAATTCACAGAGGGCGCTACCTTACAATTATTTACTAATGACAAAATTTTACATATACTTAAGACGTTTAGGATAATTGTATTTTAATTTTGGAAGGTTTCACTTCTACCACGTGTGAATTGCACACATGTTTTTTTTCAATATCAAATATAAATTATACGTACTCGGTACTGTAAAAGCGTTTAGAGCAATTTCAATTTCGGTATCGCACATCTTAGCCCTGGTGGAAAGGAACTAGTATAACGGCCAACGTGTGGACATTTCACTAATTTAACCGATCAACGTTGGTACCAACGTTGGGGCCAACATGTAGAGCTTGTAAGACGCTCGGTATAGGTACTCGTATGGAGCGGTGCGACTCGGATCCCGCAGGCAAGTACCGTTTTTTTCTATGGAAAAACGTACTGGACATGTGTGAATGACATGGATAAAATAATTCTCACTAAGATTTGTAAAAAAAATGTGTTGCGCAATTACTGATTTTAACACACCATGTGCCCGTCCGGCTAGGTCCACTCGTCCTGTCTATTTCTGCCGCAAAACTGTCTTTGTATTCGATTTGAACAGTCTTCATCACAATCTAGACTTCGACATCCCGTGTCGAAGTGAATGACGGTATCCACATTGTGATGCTTATAAGATTTCAATAGCCAATTGAAGATTATTAAAAGCATAGCGATACCCGCCGCCAGGTGAGCGAGTCCCGCTGAGCGTCGCTGAGCACAAACTGCCGCAGTGCATCAACCCGCTGAGTCTGCACATCATGCGGATCACGTCGGAGTACATCGGCCGGACCAACGACGACGAGACCACCAGGTGACACGCACACACGCACACACGCACGCACACACACGCACGCTCGCACACACACACGCACACACGCACGCACACACACACGCACGCACCCACGCACACACGCTCGCACACACACACACAACAAAGTCTCTCACAAAATATGCACTGGCTGGAAACACATTTTTTGTTTTCTTACATATCTTCTTTGGACAATGCTTCATTGATGTGCCATTATTGTTTTGATGTTAACGTTGATAGCTGCTGCTAACTCAGCAGTAGATTCAGCTTCCACTATCGCCTTTAATTCATCGTTCCTGACTTTAGTTATTTACCGACCAAAGGTTTAATTTTTTAGATAAAAATTTTCATGTCGAAACTTTCAAATTAATGACAAATCGTGCTTTTGTTTGTAATGTTCACTCCGTAAACTTCATTATTATCGATTAATCAATCTAGTGGCCACATGTTTTAAGAAAGGGCCTCGTAAATATCTCTGTTTTATTGCAACTATTAATTTTAATGTCCAGGAGGTGGAGACCTAAGTTGTCTTGGCACCGTCGCCTCTCCTTGTCTATATACGGGTCGACTCTTAGCCTACTGAAGAGGTCAACGTCCACGCCGTTGCAGCACATGGATTCTTACCTCAACATAACTAAGTTTATATTGTTTTCCACTGAGGCCTTGAGGAATCGCTAGGGTTGCCACATTGTTAGGAAAAAAATACATAGTATTAAAATAAAGTATAATTTATATTTTATTATTATTATTTATTTATTTACTCATGTAAAATTTACATTGGCGGACTTAATGCCTAAGGCATTCTCTACCTGTCAACCAAAGGTAGTGTAGAGTAAATAGTGATAGGTGCAATTATATTATATTTAAATACACATTATTTTTATTATAATTGAACAGATTAAACAAGAAACTGTGACAATTAATGACAGTGGCATTGTTGACGTTTAAGGCTTAGTTGCGTTCAGAAATATTTGTTAAAAAAACGAGTGCTTAGGTGATGTGGCTTTGGCGAGTGGCGACATCGATTGAGCAATCGATTTATTTCACTTAAAGAAAAAAATACATAAAAATATGATTAAACTTATCAAAATCCCAAAGAAACCAAATCATGCCAAATAGAGTATTTTCGGTTACTTTATTGTTCACATAAAGTGTACACTATAATTACCTGAAATAACGTACAATACTTTCTTATAAAGTACGGGTGGCAACCCTAGGAGTCGTAGACATGATTAAAAACAGTTTTACGGTGTAGTCTTTCTTCATTCAACTTATCGTATCCGACTTTTGAACGACTTTACACTCTCCGATTTCACGGAAGAATAACCTTTTAAGACTGTTTTTTAATTGATATCGTATCCGTTTTGTTTGGTTTTCAATTGCTAATGGAAGTTGTTTATCGCTAGTGGAGCAATGTACAATGTATGATGTCTTATCATACATAATTTATGTTTGTTTATTTATTTTTTGTTTTCATGTTGTCGCCTAGTAGGCGAGTTTTATTCCTTAAATAAAATGCTAAGGAGAGTTGGTTTTCTAGGTTGGTAATCTTTTGACAGTTTTGTGATTGCTATTCCGTCATTTTTTTAAAAGCTTTGACATGTCAAAGCCCTGACTTTTAGTTGATTGACCGTCTCGAAAGCACATTTCCGATGTAGTCAGCACGCTACCCTCATATGTTGATTCCACTTCAAATTCTGGAGCTTGTAATTCCTTTAAGCTTTACTTCAAGCCTCATGTCGCGACGAAGATGTGGGATCCATTGATCAGAGCCATCTTTCAGTCTTCCCATTGGTAATTTCAATTCTTCAGGCACGCTTCGAATGAAGAAAAATAATAATATACTTACTTTCAAACAAATCGACGCCTTCAGAACTGAAGAATAGTTTGATGTGTTACGTTTTATTGTAGACCCATTATTTTCTCCTTTCATTCTAAATTAATATACGCTTTTGGCTAAGGTTCACTTAAGGTCGCCTTGAACGAAGGCCGAAAGCCATTTCACTAGAACGTGGTTTGTTTATCAAATTGTCAATGGATTTCAAACTGAAATCCAACATGTATTATGCCATAAGTATTTTCAATCATAAATCTACCGCGTGTACTAGTTACCTTTCTCCGCAGGGAGACAGATGAAGAAAGCGAAAGCGTTATTCCGGGCGGAGCCGACGACGAAAGCAAAGAAACGAAACGCGAATCAACAGACAGACAGACAACCGGCATCAAGAGAAAAACCGAAAAGTAAGTTCATATCAGTTAATTCATATTTAATCTATTGATTTTGATATTTTACAGGTACACGGCTCGTTCTTATTTTTATTGCTCTTGTGGGCAGACGGTCATACGGCCCACCTGATGATGAGTGGTTAACGTCGCCCGTGGACGTCAGCAATGCCGGGGGAAGAGCCAATCCCCCGTACGTTCAAAATAATGCTGAACGGTGCCAGTTATAAATTTCAAAGGGCACAAAAATGTAACAATAACGATTAGTATTATATGGAGAAACAGTAAATTTAGATTTATTAATTATTTTTTTTTGCAAACCGTACTTCCGACAGCACTGAAATGACCATAATACTACGTAGTCACCTGTCTTTATATTCCTGCGTAGCTTGTTATGCAGGAAAAAAATACTTTTCTGCGTGTTGAGTATATTTGTTAGTGGTGGGGTAACCCATTGAGTTTGTCGTCGGATCTTCTTAGTGGATCGCGATTCAGATCCGGCGGTAGATTTTACGAAGCACCGCCTTCGCTAGAATCAGTTTTAGCTAATTCTCTGAGGTTAAGCTCAGCCAGTGTGTAGCTGGAATAGTCCCTTAGCCTCCCAGCCACTAGGTAGGGGAAGAAAGAGAGGAGGGGGCGCTCGAGCAAGTACCCTCTACGGCTACGCAGCCGACTTGACGTTTGGGACAACCGTTACACAATAATATTGAGACTACGACCTCATGCCTCAAAAGTGGGTGGCGGTGGGATATCTATAGGCTCCAACAGTCACTTTACTTGTCTTTACTGGCCTCTTGAATTCATTCGTCCGTCTAAGACAAAAAAAAAACCACTTTCCGACAATGGCTGAGAAATGCAGAACCGGTTATCCCTAACTATAATTCTAGGTAATAATTTCAAAAGTTTTTGTTTTGTCATTGTTATAATGTAAACATATCGGAAAGAAAATAAAAGGGCCCTGATTCTGCCGATATTTTATCAGTGGCCGAACTACCGATTCCGAATGGGCGGTAAAGTCACGAGAAACTCTCCGTAAAGCCTTTGTGTTGAGAGGTGATAAGGTTGTGTTTTGAGTGTTTTATATTTTACACTGGCAAATATATTTAAAATAGTAGAAACATGGCAGTAACTGGCCGTAAGGCTATACATGCAAAGAGTATTATTATCATGCTATACAAATAAATCGAACACTCTTTACACTTGAAAACAAAAATATTGTATGTGGTTTTTTTTTGAAAACCTAATTTCTTGGTGCGGTTCAGGTTAATAATGAACGATATAGTGAAAAGTCACTCGCAGGACAACATTAACAGGAGACTGAAACAGGACGTGAACATGAGGTGAAATTGCGTTTGGAGTTCGTTGACATTAATAAGGCGTGGTGTTGTTTGAGTGCTTCCTTCATGATTTGCTTGATGGTTGGTTTATAACGAGAATTAACATATTTGTGAATCGAAATTTGTATGATACGTGAACAGAAGTGTTCGCTCAGCGAGTGTTGGCGTTGAAGCTATTGTTAAATTGTGTACTACTATTGACTTAAAGTTGATTGATTATGCAAATATGCGTGTGTGTGTTTGCGTGCCCGCGTCAGAAGTTACACTTCTGTGAACGAATATTATTTATTTATGATACAAGAATATTTTGTAATTCGTACATACAAATATTTACCCCCATATTTTGCGTTCGTTGCGAGTTACCATTCTTTCTATCGAGCTAAACATTACACTTCAAAAAGGAACATTGCAAATATAACAAAATTGCGCATGCATGCAACATAATAAGCTTAGTTAGAAGTTAAACTTCTTTAACCGCAAATAGTTCGGAAGGCTAAAGTATTGAACTCAAATCTTATAACTCCAGTTTCTCTTCATTATTTTAGGTTAAAACGTTTCTTCGGGAGCACGATGAAGAAAACCGTGGACGCGGCCAAGTCGTTGGCGCAGGAGGTGTCGCACGCGCGGCACAAGGAGGACGTGGCGGACATAGCGGATGACGTCCGCGGCGAGCACAACATCAAGCTGAAGGCCTCCAACTCGCACAAGGGACCCTACGACTTCGACGGCTGCGTGCGTCACGTACAGGTACGTGTCTCTACTCCAGCCGCCCAGCGAGCCATGGAAATGGTAGTGCAAGGTACAGGGGGAAGAGGTCGACCGAAGAAGACATAGATGTAGTGTGTGAATGACGATATGAGAGAGAGAGAAGAGTGAGTGTTGAGATGACGGCTGATAGAAGAGAATGAAATAAAAAAATCCCCTATGCCGACCTTAACTTTTTTTCATTTTTTTTTTATTGCTTCGATGGGTGGACGATATCACAGCCCGGTGTTAAGTGGTTACTGGAGCCCATAAAAATCTACGACGTAAATGCGCCATCTCTCATGAGATAGGTCTCAGTATAGTTACAACGGCTGCCCCACCCTTTAAACCAAAACCTATTACTGCCTCACGGCAGAAATATGCGGGGTGGTGGTACCTACCCGTGCGGACTGACAAGAGGTCCTACCACCAGTAATTACGCAAATTATAATTTTGCGGGTTTGACTTTTATTACACGATGTTATTCCTTCACCGTGGAAGTCAATCGTGAACATTTGTTGAGTACGTATTTCATTACAAAAATTGGTACCCGCCTGAGATTCGAACACCGGCGCATCGCTTCAACACGAATGCACCGGACGTCTTATCCTTTAGGCCACGACGACTATACGTGCAACCTTACTCCACATGCATGATAAGCTAACTTCAGCTGGCACGTGACTTGTTTTGTGTAAACGTGTGTTTGTTGATATCGCGGTTCCCGGTGAGCCGTGGACGAGTTGAATGATTTGTGGGTACTTGTCGTCGCGCGCAGGAAATGGGGTCGGGGCACTGCGGCGCGGTGTGGTGCTGCAAGTTCAGCGTGTGCGGGCGCCTGCTGGCCACGGCCGGCCAGGACCGCCTGCTGCGCGTGTGGGCCACCAGGGACGCGCACCACATGTTCCAGGTCTCCAACCCCCACCCACCACATTACATTCAATATTATCAAAATTTATAATAAAACTTTAAAAACTAAAAGTGGAAAGTCATTGACTAGCATGATGAATAATTGCTTTTGCTTCTTAGGACTTTTTGGCGGGAACGCGAGTAGTGAAGTTGTGTGATTTTTTTTATTTTGTCTATTTAGTGTTTCTTCAGGTCTCAATCTGACCACCATTTTACTGAGATTATATTTCATCCCATATAATTTCATCTCATTTCATTTGATTTCATCCCAGTTGATTAATGTCTCAAATTAATCATCTTCATTTTATTTCATTCCATATTATCTATTTTCATAAAAATAAGAATAAAAATTTAAATAAGACATAACTTAAAGGTCTTAGTTACCAGGTCATAAAATCCCTTAAAAAAAGTTTGTTTCTTAATTGTGTTTTAAAAAAATTACTAGATACGAGAGTCATTAATTTGCTACAATGTATCGAATGCCAAATTATAAATAGCACATTAATTTGAAGCAGAATAATATTGGTAAGCAGGACATGCGGACGAAATACAACGCGGAACAGAAGTCGTCCCCCACCCCCTCGCAAGAGTCCCTGGCTTCCCTGGCCCCCCTAGCGCCGCCCCCCGCCCCCGAGGACGCCCCCCTCGGTCCCTCCGCCCCTTTCTGTCCCAAACCGTTCTGCGTCTACTCCGGTCACACTTCCGACCTGCTGGACGTGTCCTGGTCGAAGAACTACTTCATCCTGTCCAGCTCCATGGACAAGACGGTCAGGCTGTGGCACATCTCCCGGGGGGAGTGCCTGTGCTGCTTCCAGCACATTGACTTCGTCACGGCCATTGTGTTCCATCCCAGAGACGACAGGTACTTCCTGTCGGGCAGTCTGGACGGGAAGCTGAGGCTGTGGGATATACCTGATAAAAAGGTTTGTTCTTATATATTTTTCCCAATGTTTTCGAACTATTTTAAAACCTCCCTTTCTCTTTGTTTTTGTACCGTATGTTCCATGAGGAGTGCCCTGAGGAATTGTTTGAGATGATCCCTTCGTCTCCTTTTTATCATCGCACCTCCCGCCATTGGAGCAGAGTTCATGCATATTATCTGGAACCGCTGCGTTCATCGACAGTGCATTTCCAGAGGTCTTTTTTGCCACGCACCATCCGGCTGTGGAATGAGCTCCCCTCCACGGTGTTTCCCGAGCACTATGACATGTCCTTCTTCAAAAAAGGCTTGTGGAGAGTATTAAGCGGTAGGCAGCGGCTTGGCTCTGCCCCTGGCATTGCTGAAGTCCATGGGCGATTGTAACCAGTCACCATCAGGTGGGCCGTAAGCTCGTCTGCCTACAAGGGAAAAAAAGTTCACTTTGTTTCCTTCAATTAGCCACGTCAGATAGAGTTATGAGACCAGTTAAAAGTCAGTCATATAACATTGGTGTCCGGGGCAGGTGGCGGTCTGGAACGAGGTGGACGGCAAGACGAAGCTCATCACGGCGGCCAACTTCTGCCAGAACGGCAAGTTCGCCGTCGTGGGCACGTACGACGGCCGCTGCATCTTCTACACCACCGACCAGCTCAAGTACCACACGCAGATCGACGTGCGCTCGACCAGGGGCAAGAACTCCACCGGCCGCAAGATCAGCGGCATCGAGCCCATGCCCAACGACGACAAGATCCTCGTCACGTCCAACGACAGCAGGATCCGGCTGTACGACCTGCGCGACCTCAACCTCTCGTGCAAGTACAAGGGCTACGTGAACGTGTCGAGCCAGATCAAGGCGTCGTTCTCGCACGACGGCAAGTACATCGTGAGCGGCTCCGAGAACCAGTGCATCTACATCTGGAAGACGCACCACGACTACTCCAAGTTCACGTCGGTGCGGCGCGACCGGAACGACTTCTGGGAGGGGATCAAGGCTCACAACGCGGTGGTCACGTGCGCCGTGTTCGCGCCCAACCCCGACCACATGATCCGCATGATCAACGAGCGGGAGCAGCAGCTCAGGCTGGCCGGCGACGCGCCCGACCAGGAGGACGACCGCCTGGTGAGTACTCGTGAGCCCTGAGTTTCTGTATCTCGAATTGAAACGACAGTCTATTTAATTGTAATTGGTGTGTAAGATCTTATAAAAGTAAAGACAACAAAACGATGTCTTAACTCGGAACCTATCAATGGTGGATGGATTTATGCTAGATGGAGCGACGACCTGCGCAAGGCAGCTGGCAATGACTGGATGCGTAGAACCGAAGATCAGGTTCAGTGGCGAGCTTTGGGGGAGGCCTATGTCTAGCAGTGGACTGCCGCAGGATGATGATGATGATAAACTCGGAATTTCAAGAACAGCGATTCTTTCAACGCAATTGAAACTTTACTTGGTATTGTTATTACACTTCAACCGTATAACGACTGCTTCGCTCTTTGAACCGTTCGACGGCAAAGAGTACCACCCCCACCCCGTCCTCATCTCTAATGAATGCCAGTTGGCGATGTCGGTACGCTGGTGTAATACTCAGAGGACGGTGTTGCCCTTTCTCCGATAAAAATCCCGACATAAAATATAACACTCGCGAGAAGAGACGGCCCGCGACGATTCATACAACCCTTAAATTTTACTCGGTCAGTATCTATCAATCAAGAAATTATTTTTATTAAAGTTTATAAGAGTATTTAATTTTGTAAGTCGCGTAAAAACGAATGTTGCATAAAATAATTAAGTTTTACCCAAAAACAAATCACGCTATCACCAGTGTGTTCAGTGCTAGTTTTTTAACGTTCTCGATAGCGTAAAAGTTAACTCAGATTTGTATGGAGTTAGAACAGCGCCCCTAGCTGCAAACGTAGGCAAACGTTCCAACTCCATACAAAGGGGAATGCCAGGTCACCATAGTAATTTAGGCCCACAGTGCACATTTATACAGACTCATGATAATAATAGCAGACAATGGCAATAACTAAGTAGTAAAAGAAGTGATTTAGAAAAAAGTTGGCATTTTAAAGTTATTCAATAATTCTATCTCTCGTCAATACATGTTATAAAAAATGTTCTGTATGTAAAATCCTGTATTAGTTTACACAACACACAGGGCACAGCATCCTACCGTAACTGTATAGGTAAAAGTTGTCGATTTAAACCACAAAAAATGTACACAAACAATCACAAACTGCCTTGTGACTGTTTGTGTACATTTGCAAAACAAGCAATGATTTCGACATTTAAGTTTTCCGGCTTCTATCAAGGCAGTAACGGTGTTGCGATAAAAAACACAAAAAATCGATAATAGTTACTTTTACTTAATCAATGCTATCATAAAAAAATAATCATAATTATTGTTAAAGGTACTTTCTGTGTTTATATATATATTTTTACAAAATGCATAGTGAACGATTGAAATAATGTATGATTGAAAAAATTTAATTATTTTTCCGGTTAATTTTCTGTCAACATATTTTTTGTCGGGGCAACATTTGTACAGTAATATATGGTCCCTTTCCAAGTGTAGTCGTTTAAATGTTTAATATTTTTTGGAAAAATATTACCAACTAGCACAGAGTAAGGAATACAAGGAAGAATTATTTTATTAAATATTAATATATTTTTTTAGTGTAAATAGATACTGTGCAGCTCTGGGCCTAGATCTGGCATGCCCCTTTATGTTAACTTTTACGCTATCGATAACGTTAAAAACGAATCACATCGAACTAATGACACCGGTTCCCTTCGTTTCTGAGAGCGCGTGTGTTTGCGTCCCGCAGAAGGGGCGCGAGACGGGGCTGGTGTCGTCCTCGCAGCCGGGCCACGTGCTGGTGAGCGCGGACTTCAACGGCTGCATCAAAGTGTTCGTGCACAAGGCCAAGCCCAAGCACAGCTCCCTGCCCGCCTCCGCGCTCGCGTGAGTACCCGCTATCTGCTGGACCAGCCCAGCAGCTACCTCCAGACGACACTCGTGTCGTGGCGTGCTACCTCTTAGACAGGACATAATAATAGGACCTACAACGACTGTACATAGACCAAGACAGTGACTTGACAGAGATTCGAAAACAAATGGAACGAGGGCGGACGTGTCTGGCGGCAGGCAGTATTTCCAATGCCTTCCTAGAAGACGTACGAACCGGATAGACAAACGGACAGACCGTTCAACTTGGATTTGTACTAACTACACCCTGTAGATGTGTTGAAAGTGTCGATGTTAAATATAACAAAATAATATCGATGGGTCAAAAGCTATTTGGTTTAAGCCAGGGGCTCCCAAACTTATTTTATCTATTGCCCACTTTGAGAATAAATTATTTTTGGCGCCCCCATTTTTTCACCTGCTTAAAAACCACTACAGCAAGAGCTCAGTCTATGTAATGCCTACACAACGCCCCCATTTTTTTTTTTCCTGACTCTCTTACCGCCCCCCCTTTAGGCCTGCAGCGCCCACGAGGGGGCGTTATCGCCCACTTTGGGAAAGGCTGGTTTAAGCGAAGCTTTTGCAACTATACTCGAGAATCATTTAAAGATTCAATTTTGGAAAAAAAAAAATATCATAACCTTAACTAATACAGATAATAATATAATTCTTGATACTAATACCAAATAAAACGGACCTTTAATCTATACTATATATATATATATATAGTATAGATTAAAGTATCATAACCTTAACTAATACAGATAATAATATAATTCTTGATACTAATACCAAATAAAATGGACCTTTAATCTATACTATATATAATATATATATATATATATATATAGTATAGATTAAAGGTCCGTTTTATTTGGTATTAGTATCAAGAATTATATGAGTCGTCTATTATCAAAGGCGGCAATCTGTACATTTGGACAAAAAAATTTTATTGATATGTCAATACAGATTTATTTGAATATAATCGTCTCCTTCAAAGAATACGGTATATATATATATTTTATTATTTTTTTTGCTTGAACGCGCAAATCTCAGGAAGTACTGGTCCGATTTGAAAAATTCTTTCAGTGTTAGATAGCCCATTTATCGAGGAAGGCTATAGGCTATATAACATCACGCTAAGACCAATGCAAGCGGGAGTACCAATAAATAATGGAATTCAAAATTGGAGTTTTTTTCCCTTTTGAGAGCTTCCGCTGCGTGCGCTGCAGAAACGATTAAAGTTTCTCTAAAATAATGTACGACAGAATTGTTCCCCTTTAAAGGATCTAAAAAAAAGTCCGCGACAGCATATGTCTATATGTTAAGGTTGGCTCACTATAACGTTTTTTATGCTAACCAAAATAAAGCATTATTTGTGAACTATTCCAAAAAACTAGGCAAAATGTCGCGTGTTATGGTAGACCGCGTTCCCCCGACCGCTCTGGGGGAAGGTGTAACGCGGCGCCATCAAAGCGGGCTCTCGGCCCGCTGAACGAGGGAACCGGTGGTCGTTTCGCTGGCGGCCACCGGTCCGGCGTCCGTGGGACGGTGGGATGGATGTAATGTGCTCTGCGTCAACCCTGTCCCGCCGTTTCAATAGCCCCGACTGGGCTCTGGCCCGGTCCGAGGTAGGGCGCCGGTTGTGAGCGGCAGGAGTTTTTAGTGAGGTTCAACTCCCACATACCCCACCTGCCGCGCGGGTGGGGATCCGGCGATTTTCTCCTGTGGAAAAAAAAAAAAAAAAAAAAAAAAAAATGTCGCGTGTTATGCGAAATGACGCTTAAACCAAATAGCATTTTATACCACGATATATTTCACAATTCCTTAGCTTGTAATTTGATTACACTTACAACTTCAATAATACGTAATTTTCTTCATTTAGAAATGGAAAGTCGAGCAGTCGAGCCAGTTGAAGACTCCAGTAAGTATCACACAACACAACACCCTGTATAACTAAGCAACGGGAATTCAAGAAGGATGTACTCTTTGGGCTTTGACATAAGGTTGAAATTACGAACGTGGGATTTTTTTAAATGCAACTGTACGCATCATCGAGAAGCAGATCAATATATCGGTAACCTCTCCAAGTTTTACAATACTGTAGTACCGTGAATGTCAGCCAAACATTATTTATATGTATATATTATTTCCTACAAATATGTAATGTTACAAAAACAATCAGTTCCCAGTCCGGGCCTTATGTACTGACGACAGAACAGTGAGCTTAGTGTGAGTTTTTTAACTTTTCGATCGCGTAAAAGTTAACTCGAATTTGTATGGAGTTTGACAGCGTTTCTACGTTTGCCGCTAAGGGCGCTGTTCCAACTGTGGCCGCTCGGTGGACTCGATATACTACAATAAATATTTATATGCTCTAACATGCTCTAACTCTCTTAAACACCTACTAACGTCTATCCGAAATAAGCGATCACATGTCGTTAATGTCCCGAGCGTCAACATCGACGCGTCCTCCCCCCAACCCGCCCGGCCTCCCCCTCGCTCCCCCCGCACGCGCTGCCGACACACATCTCAGATACTTTTGGCAGTTTATGTGAAAACAAAAAAATGCGCGTGCAACTTGGTGCACGTGAATGAAGTGAAACTTCTTTTTCGATGTGTAGTATTGTGGTTTTCTTCATTTTTCGTCCTTAAATCAGCTTGCTATTGTATGCTGTGTATAAGAGATGCGACATCTTCAATATTTATATTATACTAGCGACCCGCTCCGGCTCCGCTCGGGTCTTTAACTTAAATAATTTCAACGATATTTGACGTTATTTAATTTTTTAAATAAAATAACACTTATTGCGGTATAACTATAATAGTTAGACATATGCTGTCGCGACACTTTGTGTAGATAATAATGTGTTCTACAAAGCCGTAGTACATTATTTTATTATATCATCAATAGTTTTCGCAGGGCACGCGATGTAAAGAATATTTTAGATAATTTTTTTACACCTTGGGTTACATTATTGGAAGTTTAGCAAGAATTCCTAATTATTTTCAAAAAAGGTAGCCTATGTCACTCGCGAATAGTGTAGCTTTCAAACAGTGAAATAATTTTTCAAATCGGTTCAGTAGTTTCGGAGCCTATTCAATACAAACAAACAAATCTTTCCTCTTTATAATATTAGTATAGATATATTTTAAATTATAGATAGAAAAATAATTTTTTTTTTTTAAATACTTCATTAAAATATTGGGGACTACTCGTTGCTAACGCTCGCGCTGGCCTGTAACAGGTATACTACTCGTGTGCGTCCGAGTGCCGCGCATTCACTGTCGCTCTGTCTCTTTCTATTCCCCCTCCCCAGGAGCGTTTAACGCAACCTTGTTGGAAGTCGCATTAGAAGTTTCACTTCAACATATTTCTATTTTTTCTAAAATGATATACGTGTCATATCTAACGGAAATGTTTATATATATTTTATAACTACAACTTATTAATTGCGTAACGTTGTGTTCTATTTATATTTTACTGGAGTATTATTAAATTTTATTTACACGTTATTTGGACAATTTTTCATTATTCTATTGATAACTGTGAAAACAAAATGGTGACGCATCAGTTCCGCGTGTGGTACGTTTGGGATGACTTGTGACAGTCATTTTTATGACCCATAAAATAAACCCTTACTAGCCAGCATGCGATAAGTTTGTCGGAGCTTAAAGAGGACACATACATACATACAAAGCTGAAGTATCAAATATACTATAGTATTAACTACGCCGATACATTATCATTCTTGGTTTAACGTCACATAAAGATGGTCGATAGAATTGGCTTCGTTTACAATGTTATAAAAGTATGGAAATTATTTGTTTTGTTATTTCTTTTATTATTATTATTATTATTATTATTTAGGTATCTGTATAAATTACTTAAACGCAAGGAAATATTAAATTTTGTTTTTTTAATTAAGTTTGAACTTTAAATACATTTATTTGATTAATGAAATCGAAAGAATCCATTAGATATTTTTGTACAGATTAGATAATAGTTACGGAACATCACATCAATATGAATAGAAAACTTAGTTATATATGGAATAATGGATGTTACACTGAGCCGTTTTATTACTAAGAGACATTATTAATTATTACCGCATTCACTTTTTGTTTTAACTGTACACTTCATTCAATGAAAGTTGGATAAGTTTTCAATTTTTGTTCGTGCAGCCGTCTTGTTGAAAGCGATCCGATTCGTTTATTACGTCAATGTGAATTTATATATTGAAGAGCTTAGTCGGTGAGGTCAGGGTCAAGGTCGACGATAGCGCGCAATGGTCAGCGTTGCCCACTGAGTTTCTCGCCGGATCTTCTAAGCGGGTCGCGTTTCCGATCCGGTGGTAGATTCTGCGAAGAACGGCTCTTGCTAGGGTTCGTGTTAGCAACGTCGTCAGGTTTGAGCCCCGTGAGCTTACCTACTAGTTAAGGTTACGCTGAAATAGCCCCTCAAAGCTATCAGCTTAGGAAGGAAATAAAAAAAAAAGGTCAGCTCTCGTGGCATAGGTACAGTTGCGTCCGCATGCATCGTGTATGTTTCATTTACAATTAGTTTCAAACATAATCGCAAATAAAAAAGGCAGATACTAGAATCCGAATGGTATTTTACTGTTTTCTGTTAGTTTTTTTTTATTGCTTAATTGGGTGGACGAGCTCACAGCCCGTCTGGTGTTAAGTGGTTACCGGAGCCCATAAACATCTACAACGTAAATACGCCACTCAGATTGAGATCTAAGTTCTAAGGTTTCAGTTATAGTTACAACGACTGCCCCACCCTTCGAGTCGAAACGCATTACTGCTTCACGGCAGAAACAGGCAGGGTGGTGGTACCTACCCGCGCGGACTCACAAGAAGTCCTGCCACCAGTAAAAAGTAGTTCTTTTATTTGAGCATTTTCCCTAGAGTTGTGTCGTTCGTGATCACACGAAGATCTTGGCGCGCTTCGGCATTATACCGCTCTCACGATCTTGGCATTAACTTCGGCGAGGCTCTCGAAAGCAACTTATAATTTCATTTTCACCATAAACCATTATCCATTATATCCATTTAAACATAATAATGAACATCACACTGTATACACGTTATAAAAGAATATAAGTTTTAACTATAAGTATTAGTTCAATATGATATCGACGCTTGAGAGGCAAACGTGACTAAGCGACAATGCGTGAACTTTACAGTAGACTAATTTAAAATTGAAATACCTGAAAAATATTATATTTTAACGAATCTAGCTGTAGGATTGATATGATTTTAATAGACCTAGAAATATATATTTTTTGGGCATCGAATATGGTTATTGCCTATCATTTATGTACAAAGCAGTTATTGTCGCTTAGTCACGTTTGCCTTTCAAGCGTCGATATGTATTTGTTATTAACAATTGTGCTATCATTCATAATGGTAGGTACCTTAAAATTTTATATACAATAATGTAAAAGTTTCAAACAATAGAGCTTAACTTTTTTTGTAATATTATTACAAGAACAGATTATGATCTATACAGGGTGTACGGAATTAGTCTTCAAAATCGAAATACACAAGTGTAAGTGTCGGTAATGCCTAGTGCAATGGTTTTAAAAATCTTCATCGAACATAGCATTACTAAGGTCGCATGTCACGTAATACAATTCGTAGGTTCGTGGAAAATGAAATGTTTCTCAAAATATATATGCTGGCAAAATTAATGCCAAAGGCGTTGATGCCAAATTTATTTATAATAGTATATTGTGCACCAAGGGAGAAAAGTAGGACATTTCCTCCCGCGTGTAAAAACGCGGGATGAGATGTCCTTTTTTTTCCCGCGGTGCACATACTATTTTTTCTCCTACTAGGCCGAAAGTTCGTGGAGTACCGAGCCCAGGGGCGAAGCCCTGGCAAGGGTTAGGGGGGCGGAGCCCCCCATACTCATAAAAAAACAATTTAACTGGTTTTTAATTTTTAAATAAACTACTACTAATTGAATAAGAACTGTCTGATGAACTCATCCTTGTTGAATACTTCACTATTAAATTTTATTACCTTTTGTTTATTTCACTTTTACACTAAACATAATATTGCAAATTACCCGAGCACAACAATGGCGGAGAATTTTAGGTGCGTGAGAGCAGACGTAGACACTAACGCGCATATGCGCTCCACGCACAGGGAGGAAAAGTTACACCTTCTTCCCTGTACAGCGGGAGGAAAAGTTACACCTTCTTCCCTGTACAGCGGGAGGAAAAGTTACACCTTCTTCCCTGTACAGCGGGAGGAAAAGTTACACCTTCTTCCGTGTACAGCAGGAGGAAAAGTTACACCTTCTTCCCTGTACAGCGGGAGGAAAAGTTACACCTTCTTCCCTGTACAGCGGGAGGAAAAGTTACACCTTCTTCGCTGTACAGCGGAAGGAAAAGTTACACCTTCTTCCCTGTACAGCGGGAGGAAAAGTTACACCTTCCCTGTACAGCGGGAGGAAAAGTTACACCTTCTTCCCTGTACAGCGGGAGGAAAAGTTACACCTTCTTCCCTGTACAGCGGGAGGAAAACCGAACTTTCGGCGTAGGTAGGAGAAAAATATATATGTGAACTCATTAAAATGAGAAGGTTTATATAAAAATTAGAGGCTTAAGCAATATTGCTTCTATCGAGTTTTAACAGACGATCATTTCCATTATTAATAGAAGTTTAGTGATATATAAATAGATGTAATTTACCGGAATCCGAATATAAAAAAGTTTGCATATTGAGTTCGTTTAAAAAAGACATTTGCGACGAGCAGATCCGACGCCAGCCATGTACACTTTTAAATCTCGCGAAGAACAATATTTGTTCGTTTATGTTAGAATAACAGTTTATACTGCACTATGACTACTTGAACCACACCCTGTATAGTGAGTCGGGTCACTGTCCTCTGTGGTGGTCAGCGCGAGGGTCCGCGTGGGGCGGCTGAGTCAACAGATTCCTGGGTCTGACCCCTTTACTAATGCCCTGGTGGACCGACAATCAGCTTACTTCTACACCACTGTTATTCGTGACAGCAAGCTGTATTTTCATTAACATTTACTTGTGTATTGTTATTTGGCACGTGTAATATTTAATGTATAGTAATTAATGTAATATATGTGGATTGTTATTATTATTTTTTTGTGTAAATTGTCTTCTTTTATACTCCTGTTGGAGTTCGTTTGGATTGTATAAAGTATTTAGCTAAGTGATCTAAAAGATGCCATTGTAATCATGTTGAAAATATATTTTTATTTCGCATTTAATCTTAATAAATAGTTATTTTTTATCGATATTGTTTTTTATTTGTTCATATTTAAATAATAATCTGTGGGTCGTATTTGTGTGACTGCTTAGATAAGTAGTCGGCAACCCGCGACTCTTTGACTCTTTGGCTAAGACTGCAAAATGTTTATGGAATATTATTTTGCCTACCTACTTATTATCTTGCCTCGTAAGAGACTAGTAAACATTTTTGAAACGCAAGGATATAAAGATGTGTTTAAAAAAACACTTTGAATAAATTTCAATTGTGTGTTATCTTTAATTGGCTTTTTTGAATGCAAATCTTGCGGACCACTGTCTTAGCTTAAGAGTTGAGAGTGGAGAATGTTTGTGAAAATTTAACGTATTTTGTATAATATTTTTAATCTTCAAAAACACATTTGCA